AACAACAACAACGAAAACAACAACAACAACGAAAACAACAACAACAACGAAAACAACAACAACAACAACAACAACAACAAGGCACTGTTACTAACCTTTCTCCAAGGTCAATTTCCAACACTTTGTTTCCCTTCTCTAACATACGAATCATCTCCAAGCTCTTGTTATTTGGATCGATYAGCAATGGTACTCTCTGCCAAGACGATCTCGCAAGCACAGCATTTTCTATTTTACGTAATCCCAGTCCTTTAGTGAGAAGTTTACGTACTGTACCATCACCAACTAACAGCTTAGCTAAAGCCAACGAAAACGCATCGTACTCGACTAGTGTTTTATCCATGTATTCCTTCCCTTGTGATGTGTCTGAGATTTTACGTTTGGAAGTGTTAGAGGATTGTGAGTTGGTAGAAGCTTTGCTGACCTGTGATGTCCTTGATGCTTGTGAAGTACGAGAAGCGCTTCCTTTCTGTTCAACGTCCTGTTTGTCGACTTCGTCGCTGTCATCGTTGCCTCGTGGTTCTTGGTAGTTAGAATTCTCATCTTTACTGTTTTCTACATCTTCCGTATTCTCTTCGCCATTATCTATGCCGTCATGTTGTTGTTGTGTTAGCTGTTTAACGGCTGGATCACTGTCTCTTCTAGTAAGATCCTCGGTTTTGTAGACCCTTGCATCAGGATATGGTGGACTTGCATCAAGAACAAGCGGTACACCACGCTCTTCGAGACAACGAGGCCAGTTGACGGTCATCATTTCACGACGGAAAGAAAAGCCGTATGGACCAAGGTACGTAGCAAATGCAGCAGCAATGGCGACTCCTCCAGCTATCGCATCGCGACGTTTCTTGATCGATTCTTGTACACTGGACCACTTTTGACGACCAGAACTTAAAACCTGTTGGAGAGAGGAAATGATTTATCAGACACAGTAACTGATTGACAATCAACCGTATCAGCCTTGACTGTCAGTATTTATTTATCAACATCSATCACCATCATAACCATTGCTTCAATGGTAGGTTTAGTTACCTGTTCAAAATAAGCGGCTTGTTTCAGTTTAGTGTCCAGATTCTGTGTAAGTTCATATTGTCTGCATTTATCAATTGAAGCATCTTCATAGGCTACAGCGAGCGACTTTAGACGATCCTCTAAGCCGTTCAGCTTATCATTCATGGTATTCATCTTTTCCAAGGCTGTTGCTTCTGTTGAAGATGTCTCAGCTACTTTAGCGTGTAACGGTTTGACTTTGGATTGCATCATTCGATGGTATCTAGAGACAAAGCATGCCATCATACCAACAATCTTCAGAATACTCATTCATTTGTCAATCAATTCGACAAGAATCGTAGAAGACGTCGCACATTGAAGAGAAAAACAAGGAAAGACAAAATTTACCTGACCACACCACGGACCCACTGGACTAGAGAACCGACAGCCGAATTGTTGGTCTTCCTTTCCAGGTAGTCTCCGCTGAAATGCGGTTTCTTGAGGTAAGGTTCAACAACCTCCAGAGTACTCGATGGTAATTCATTGTCATCAAACATACTCAATTCCTCGCGAAATCTACAAAGAATCAAGTACAACTACCTTCAAACCACGTTCTTTCTAAAAACTGTTAACTTTATACTTAGTACGGCGTTACCTGTCAAGGTTGGCCATCAGACGCTTGGCACCTTTGTTCCATGTTATGTCTGAATTGGGTGATTTTACTRAAAAGTAAAACAGAACTTTAGATTCAGGAAAGGAAACTTTAAATATACTATGACATTTAATAAAGTGGACTGTAAAAACAACATCCAATAAACTGACCATCATGAACACAACACATCTACATGAATTGATAAACAAAGCCGTCATCAACACAGCAACAGCAACAACAACAACGACAACGACAACAACAACGACAACAACAACAACATCACGCTGTACCAATAATAATGATGGCAGCCAGCAAGTCTTCAATCTCTGAGTCAGGTTTCTGCATGGCTCTTAGTTCTGTTAATCCCTGTTGGTCTAGGAACTTAAGAACTCTTTTGGTATCAGATACAACTGCTGCAGCTTTGAACACAGCTCGCTCGTGCGCCATTTGATACTCAGGTAACGCCTGTAATATAGTGCTTGCAATCAGTACCATGAAACATGAGAAGAATATTTGGTGTTCAAACGCTCTACCTTTTTGAGTTTCTGTATTCGTTCTTGTTGTCGTTTGACCAGCCGAACTTGTTCCTCTGCAATAGCACGATCCTGAACGACATCAATCGTTAAATTATTATTTGTCATCATTTTATTTGTGAACTACATCGATAGGTCATCGTATCGTCATTAGTTATCGCTAGTAAGTGATGCAGCTTACCTGTCCTATTTGCATGAGAAGCTGTTCGTTACCCTAGAAATATAAAAACAACATACACGTTACGATATTTCATTATATCACATGCTTATCATCATCACCATCATCATCATGACGAATAATCATCGGTCAATAACAAACCTTTTTCTTCTGATCCAAAACCATCTTCTCGTGTTCTAGTTGTTTTTTGAGTTCCTCTGCTAGATTTACACCTCGTTCAATTGTCTTCAGCGCAGCTTCGACTTGTTCGTATTCACGGACGAGGGTAGTTTGTCTATGGCTCACAAGATTAATGAACCTGAAACATAAACCACTCTCATCACACCGATTATAGAAAAATGTACTATGGTGAAGTATTCTATACGCATCATTGCAATGTATAGACAATTAGAACGTATTTCTATCTAAATAATCTAGTATAAAACATGCCWTTGACAGGAGAAACAAACTTAATCAACGCTATTTACAAAATCTTACTTTTCAACAAAGATTTCAAAAGTAGTGTTGGTCAGGTGACCGTATTGACCAGCGTCTACGTCACATCCCTCTTGATGACGTAATGCCAGGTGCATGGAAGCCATTAAATGAGCAAGGTTTTCTTTCTCCACCGAGTTGAAGATGSTCAGATCTATAAAAATATCACGTCATTAAAGATTAAAGTAAGTCTTGATTTAGCGTGCTTATAGCGTTACAGGACTTACTTTTTAAGTGATAGCTTGCGTGACTAACAAGTGCTTCTTTCGACCAATGAGGCATCAGTACGATAGATACTGTGTTGGTCAGGGCAGGAAGTGTACGGCAACGTTTCTGGAATGCTTCTCCAAGTGACGTGCATGTCAATACAACGCGTAGATTTTCTCGTACAGTCCTATAGTCATATCGAAATATATTCAATGGATGAGCCAAACACTATATTGTAATATCAAGTTTATTGGAGTAAATGGTATTCATTTAAGGTGTTAGCAAAGAAAAACATACTTTAGGAAGAAATCCCAAGCAACATCCTTAGTATAGGTAAGACCAGCCTGAGTGACTTCAGAGCGTACAGCATTGATTACCGATGTCTGTTCCTCGTCGGTGAATAGATGAGAAATGGAACACGATACCAAAAACTCACTCACAAGAACCAAGAAATCTTCATTAAAAATGTCTGATTCGGGAAGCAGCAATAGCAGATGTTCTCCCTGGGAAAAAATAACAATCGTCCTAACTACATATCAAGGCTTTGAAATATTGTTAGGAAAGAAGGAAGTGAAATATAGATGTACAGCCCATTTTGACAGAAATCGAATTTATGCATTGTAAAACTACCTTAACTCCAGCTCTTGTAAAAGCCTGTACCAGGTCAGTCTTAAAGTTGTCCAGTGTATATTTTCCATTAAGCGATATCGACGAAGGGTTAATACGCGTTACTGAATAATCACAAAGATGTGCTGCGAGTTTAGCAAGCTTAGTAGCTAGTCCCGGGGAACCCTCGGACACTATCAAGGCGTGGCCACATTCGTGAGGACTCTGGATTATGCGCACTAGACGACATATTGTCTCCATGACATCCTGTAAAAAACAGAACAATCACCATTATCTTCATTAATCATGGAGAATAGACAGTACACGGACATAATGGTGTTATTTAGTGCTTACATCGTGTAGTGTTATCTTGAGTCGTGGGAAGTCTTTATTGTACTCATCGATACCATGTTCAAGAACCGCACGGACCTTTGGGATACAAACAGGTTGATCAGAAGAGATAAAACAATAATACAAACATATAGCCAATCACCTTGCTCATATCAGTCACATGTCTGTAAGCCAGATGAACGTCGTCTTCATTTGCGTCAGTCGAGCCTCCACCCATCACTTCCCCTGAATTATCCTCGAGATCAACCAGATTGGTGAAGAATGGAGTGGGGCTGTTTACTACCGACAGCTAGAGAAACAAATCAATCAATAAAGGGATGTGATTTACATGTGAAATAATCTATATAATATTACAGTATTATTTGATCGGTCAATGGATGGTCCTATAGCACCGTTAAATCACGATGTTAAATGACTTCAGAAACGAATAATGAGGAAAAACGAAACTCAAGCGTCTTTCGATATTTAACCCATGTCTCGTGATCCTATTTTTGTCTGGTCAGTCCAGATATAAATGTCCAGTATTACCTGGTCTTCATTGGTGAACCTCTTCTTTGCTGCCACCATAAAGGCCTGTTGATAGCGTTCTTTATCGACAGCGTCAATCAACCGACGACTATACACCCAATCACATTCGTGTTTCCACAGTAAAAGCAGATCATGATGAGAACATCCAGGACGTAAAGTTAGGCATAGATTCCTAAAAAATAATTAAAAGCAATTCATATACAAAGGCAATTCATATGAATAGCATAATTGAAAAATCAGTTGAAATTCACTCTTCTCATTGCCGTAACAGAGCGATTATAGGATACATTGAACTAGTAAACACGTCCAGTCTGTGTAAATAACTGAAATAAAGGACACCATTAGTTACCTGAAGACCATCGTCATATCTGTCATGGTAAACATATAGTGACATCTTTGTGATGTATGCAAGTACRTGGTACGTAGATTATCCTGCATGTCTAAAGTCACATATGTCARGTTGCTTAGTAGTTCTTTCATTGAACGATCATGGAAACCGATTCCAGTATGCTTCACGTCACTTTCATCAGACTGTTGTGATGCCGTATCGTTCGCGTTGGACCGGGATTGAGTGATGTTGAGAAGRAAGTGTTTTTCTAATTGTTGAGTGTAGATGTAGTGAAGCTCATCAATGCTGCAAAAAATCAAATGTATTTGATATCATCTATATACTTATAACTCCTTTTAAAGCAAGTTCATTATCCTATTTCTAACAACAAACATTCATGTTGACGACTTGAGGTCATTATAACTCCTTATGAATAGAAATACGATTTTTCTGTAATACTTTGTCTCATACCTTGGGAACGATACACTGAAGACAGAGAAATGTCGTAGCAATCTGGTGCTGAGTTTGGATGTAGTAGGTGGTGTATCAGGGTTATAGGAAGACAAGTAGGTSACGTGCTGAACCGCCTTCCACTGTTGAGTCTCAGGATCAAACACACCTCCATGGTCGATATGCTGACGAACAAGCTCACAGGCTGACTGAACGTTTGTCTTATTCGCCTGTTGATAATCAATGATAATAAAATGCTTAGCATCATTGTCCCTACATCATCAAACGTTTCCCAATCATTGATCTAACACATGCTACCACGCCCTCACATACCTTACTAAGGTTCAAATCATCCACTAGATCTAACAATAGTGCAGGTATACGTCACGTGTTACCACGCCCTCACATACCTTACTAAGATTCAAATCATCCACTAGACAGGTCAAAGACTTATTTCCCTTGGGTACGTAGGTGTGCGCATGTTTCCATTCTAAACAGTTCGATACTTCACGCCAAAGACTTCGGCCTGTTGTAAACTTGTTACAATAAACTGTAAGACTCAACACCTCACCCATGTCACCGCCATGTTGCTTTAGCCTATGACGTAATATAGACGTCTTACCACTACCTTCTTCACCAACCAGTAAAACCGGTTTACCAGCATCGGCTAATAGACCAACCAGGTGAGAGATACGCTGAAAAGAGTAGAATATTCTCTCATTACAGAAAGAAAGCTCTGAAAAAATTTTAAGTGGATTACAGCAAGAACGTCATCTTACCTCATTGTTCACAGTATGGACGTACGCTTCATTGGGGATGCCCTCAGCAGCAGTCTGGGCGTAAGGAGGGACTGCTTCTCGCCAATTCAAAAACTCGTGGGTCTCGGGATTTACGTAGAAATTCCACACCTATAGATGCGATACGAGAATAGTTCAAACAGGTTKTTTCTATTAAGCGATATGACTGCAACATGTACCTCATCGTCTCCTGGTAGGTTCACGAMATCAAYCCACTGTTTTCTCCACCAATCACTGAARTACTGTCTGTGATGAGTTTGTARTGTRCCACCAAACGCCCACATTGCAGCATAACAGAAATAGTTCTCAAACTCACTGGGCATGAGGTCTTGATAGTTGGCAATGATAGCCTATTGGTAATAACAACAACRRSAAGGAGTTATTGATATTGGTGGWGAACCCTTATAAAGTAGAGGAGATCATATGGTGGAGAACCCATCTTGGCATCACGAGATACTAACCTCGACAAGTGTCAATAAAGTATTAACCATTCCCATCTCATTGACAGACACTACATGGCGAAGCTGACTCGGTTTATCTTGTCCCAGTTGAGCCCCTTTAACCGGTGGTACTGTTGTAGTCGAAGCGAGATACTCCAGTGTTGGGGCAATGTAACGATTACATAACTCACGTAATACGTCAACTTCACGCTCTGGTCTCCTTGACAACCATCTCTCTACCAATAATGGCCAGTTAACATCAGCGGTGCTTAGAGCAAGCATGCCTAACGAGGACAGTACCGCTGGACTTAGGTTATCAAGTGACTCAAGCTGTGGGAAGATTATGATGACAGATACCAGGTTAAAAACAAAACAACTGAACACAGAAAATCCACACAAATCACATAAAATACATAACGTACCTCCCAAATAATTCGCAGTGCCTTAGGTAGCTTTAGATGTTCGTTGTTTCCAAGAACCACCACTCCTTTGATTAGAAATAATTGTACAGTTAAAATGACGAACTACAACAATTGAATAAGTTARCAAGCACTCACCACTGTTTTTGATAAACGAACCAAAGATTTCCATTTGAACAGGATCAATCTATAACAAGAACATRGTAACAATATGAGCATCAGTATTATTGTTAATTAACTATGAATATTGTACTACCGTGCCGTCCAGGTGTAGCCATTTTATCAATGGTTTCCTCGATGATTTTGCATTGATGTCTTGTAGAATACGTAAATGTTTGCGTAACGCTACAGGAAGAAGCCCGTCTTTCCATTCTCTGTCAGAAAAAAWATATTAGATGGGATTATTTCCTGGATAATCTGGTATAAAAAATAAAATAGAATGCCATCATACTTGGTCGTGGGGTCCGTGTATCCCAACAATTCTTCGCTTTCCATAGTACCAGTACATATGATATCGCTCTTGACTTGGTATCCCATCTCTCTATGCGCTGCTGCTAACGTCTTGATTGATTCTGTTTTACCACATCCACTGGGACCAGTGATACAAACCTGAAATACACTTAGTAGTTAAGTATCAAAACTAACAATGATGATAAAATTGGATGGAAGGGATCGCAGGAAGTTGAAGTGGARAATAGAAGGGAATATCTTACCACACGATGTGCATTGATGAGTTCTGATAGCTGTACTACACGTGACTGGAATGATACTCCTGGTTGTAGTCCAAGTTTACTTGTTGCAACTTGTATTGCAGAATGAATGTCTTCTAAAACTATAGCAAAACGTTTATTACTGGTTTATAGTATCGACTGCCAAGACATCAAACAATCAACGTCAAAGCTAAAGCCACAACACACATATAAAATAAAGAATAACAAGTACAAAATCATGCAACAAAAACAACAGCAAAATAAAAGGATCTGTACCTTCTGCTTGATCAGCTTCATCCCCAGAAGCTGGCCTACTTCGAGGAGAAACAGGAATCTCATCCAAGTTTGATATGGATTGATTCATAGCCATTGTACCATCCACGACTCCATAGCTATCAAAGATCATAGGGATTTGACCATTTGGGAACARGTCTGACACAAGTGTAGCAAACATAACCTGGTCACTGCAGGACAGTTGAGGCATGAACGTATCTCGTAAGGCAAGTACAACGGCCTGTTCTTCTGCTTTTAATGACTCTATGTCTTCAGTGGAAGTAGATGTGTTCCCTGTGTCTAATAATCATAATGATGTCAGTAAACTAGTGATGATGATATAATATTTAAGCAATTGTTTTACCTTCTACAGAAGGMTCATTAGCTGCCGCTACTGCATCTGTCGGTGAGGGTTCTCTWCCATCGGGCGAGGTTCTTTCAGGAAGCTTACTAACTGACTTGTTTGCTTCCAACTCTTCTCGACTAGACAYCAAATGAGATCCCGCATTTTCGATGAGCCTCTCTATGCTCACTGGTCCCCAACTTGAACACTTATGTACACARCGGAATAGGTCCCCAGAAAGAACTTTAGAGGTGTTTGGCAACACCTTCAAGCAAATGTCCCTAAGGGACGCTATCTTGGAGGCCAATGTRCTTACTTGCYTRAAGCCGTGACTCAGAAGCCACATCTCTAGCATTAYGTTCCAATTTGGTTCCATTAGGGCCACCGATCTAAATAGTCCCTGTTGGTCCCTGGAAATATGTGTTGTAGAACCCTTGAAGGATGGGAAGAACCCCACACTAGGATTGTAAGTAGGGAACGACTCGTTAATGGTGTTTGTCAGAGTACCAAAACATGCCCCTTGGGACATTAAAGGAATCTCTTCGTCTTGTATGAAGACAGTTGTYTTGTTTGCTCTTAGACCATCATGAATAGACATAAGTAGCTGTGCCAGTATGGACATAATCACTGGTGTAATGGCTGACATATTACTGAAACAAACCCATGATCCTACAAAAAAATACATCAAAATTATGAATTGACTGTACAAAACGATAAWACAATATTAAAGAAACAAGCAATAAAGAACATACCAGAGCTGGCCAGTCCTCGACATATGTCTATCAGCATTGTTCTAGATAGGTGTTTGGAGGCATTGAAGGCGTACAGTGGATAACCCAGAATAAAAGACAGCTCTCTTATTGTGCTTGTCTTGCCACAGCCCTACAGAAATAAATATTAGCATTTTGCACAATTTTCGCTAGAAAGTTCTCAAAAGAGACTCCCAGTAAGGACCGGTTAGGTGAATCAGTTTTTAAAGTTAATCGGCCCAACAAGAAACAGTTTGAAATCAGGGTTGTTGGTATACTTACAGGAGGTCCAGTGCACAAGCCGATCAGTTTGGACTTCAGTGCATAAGCAAGTCCCATGAGACATCTATCAGTAGTAGGACTAAGTACAAGCCTTGATGTCGTTCCTTGGTATTCAAATCCATAATCAAAACTCATATTCACCATGTCTACTCTACACGTCTGTTTCTSATCATCCCAGCAATGACGTGCATTGATAAACCAGTTAAACCAGTTTTCCACTGCAGTTACATCAGGTTTATCGTCTAGTTCTTGAATCAGGTCTCGTGTGTGGGTTAGATATGTTAMAATATTACATATTCGTGAAATATCAGTTGAAGAGAGCATAGAAGTTGTAGTTTKCTTTACTTCTGGTTGTGTTTCTGTTGGTTTTTCGTTTTGATTTCCTTTGATTGACGTCACAGATATGTCTGATCGTCCCGCTTCACTACCTAAAGCTGCACTACCAATACGATCAAGAGATGCACTTGTACCGCGACTTGCTCCTTCYGGAMCCATATCCCTAGGYCTCTCCTCCACAGGCAATTCTGTGMCATTCTCCATGCTATTCTTGTCTACCTTGTTTTCGCGCAGTGTTTTTGCCAGTGTAGATATCATTGTAGCTACCTTGCTTAAAACTGTTGTCACAGATTCGTTACCATCTGTACTTTTTTTACCAATGGCTTCGTGGATATCTTTACACAATTCTATTTGTAAACCAAGAAGTACTGCTTGAGAGCAATAAGTGGACGATAGAACAGTGTCTTCTGTCTGATCAGATGAATCAGGATTTGATGTTTTGGATGTTACCAAAGCGGTAAGTTGTTCCACCAAGGTTTGTCGTAAGGTTGTGAGTACATTACTAAGCCATCCATCAATAGGTCCTTCGCACATTACCGGCTAATATTAACATAAATAACAATTTATTAGTGATGATGATGATGATGATGATGACGATGATGATTAGTACTTATTATGTTCAGTTCATGTTTAAATGGATAGATACCGTTTTGAATGCCAGTCGCTCTCCATGGTTACTGACAGCACCAGTGATTTGAAAGAATCTTGTGCCATCGGCGTCAACATCATCGTAATCAAGACTTCCAAGATTCTCAAGGACTTTGCTGAGATATGGATTAACAAGACCTGGATCGTAACCTAGAAACAATAAACTCAATGAACATGATAGCAAACAACCTATATCAAATTTAATCAAAATTTTAGTCAAAATTTAGTTAAAAATAAGTGTTTTAACACTTATCATTAAAATCATTATTATCATTATTATCATTAAAATCATTATTATCATTAAAATGATTTGAGCAACTGTGCTTCTACAAGTTTGCCATCCTGATACGATCATGGAAAACGCATAAAAACCACTTGGAAGGATAGATAAATAGAATGCATTAGACGACTAATAGAATATGTCGCATACCATTACAAACAACGTGTAAAACATCTTCCAGAGACAGAAAGTAGAAGCGAGGAAACTTCTGTCGCCTTCGTTCAAGGTGTGTCAGTAGTGACTTCCAACATTGTTGTAAATTCATATTTAGTTTCTCAAGCTTTGTCTGTATATCTGATAAAACAGAATGATAAATAACAGAATAAATGGATAGTGATTGGAGTTTTGAAGAAGGTTAGGAGAGCCTATGGCAGGGCAAAACAGAAAAAATCTGCCAAAATCTCTTTCATCATCATTTATACTGAGCTAATTTCTAAATTTCTTCATTCATTCTTGATAAATGCCAAGAATATGAACCAAAGGCAAATCTTACTTGTCCTTGAGCAAGCTTGTAGTACATTAGGATTCTTCTCTGTTGCTTTCATGAGAATCCTAAAGTCTCGATTGACGGCAGAGAACAGGTTTGTCTCATGTGGCATGGCGATGCGGAATTCTAGACTTGTAAAGACCTACAAGACAACACCATAGTTATCATTGATTGCTACTGTTGCCTTACACCCTTACACCCAAAAGTAACGAATCTCGTCGGCTCTATTTTCTCAATTTTCACCTTCAGTAAATTTCATTAGTAGTGTTTTGTTGGTTTTGGTGCATTTAGAGCTGTTTTTTACTTACGTCTTCCAGTTCCACCCATTTCTCCTGTACTTCAAGCCAAACCGTTAACACAGCTTCAATTGTCTGAAGTCTCTTTTGCCATTTCATAATATCATCAGCAAACGATCCTGCAGAACTTCCACTCAGCATGTGTTGCAGTGAAACCTGTTAAAAAAAAACAGGGAATTACACAATACTGGAAGGGATGGATAAATCAATGATAAGTTAATTTAAGGCAAACCTGATGGTCTTCAAGCTCTTCAAATATCGGATCGCAATTGTCAAGCAGAGAAACAGGTCCACTATCCTGTAAAGGTATTTTAGCTTATAAGAAGGTTTCATATGTAATTGTTTCAAACAATACAGTATTTTCCTACCTGTGCAAGACTGATGAGAGAGTGTGAAAATGTAGCAGAAGCAAGTGAAGTCTTCCTGGTCCTACTTTCCTTGACACTAAACCCACCGCTACCATGACTAGTAACCGATATTCTACTGGACATTCCACGTACACCATGGATGTCATACTCAGAGTCTTTACCGAATTCACTGCCAGTATTCTGAAATTATAAAGGATTTCATTCMCTCTTATTTAATCCTTTCACTGCTCATTCAACCATGTATTTATTTTACYATTTATTCGCTTATTGTGAAATACTTACATCTTGTGCAATAGCTGCGGCGGACGAGCTGGGTCTCTTGTACCCAGTGTGAGCCCTGATCTCAAAGATTTTACTTAACCATACTTCTTCATAAGTCTTCAACGAACTTTCAATGGCTACATCCTTGGTAGCTCGCTGGATGATACCTCGTACTTCATCGGCGTGATCTATTTATGAAACAAAACCATTTTAGCTACCTAATCGCCTCAGTTGTTACAGTAGTCATGGTAAGTGTAATAAATTGGTCACACAGCAGCGGTCGGTCATTCGGACAGTAAAAGGTAAAGAGCAACCTCGTTCCCAGGGCCTTATCCCTTCGCTTGGGGTCGAAGGGATAAGGCCCTGGGAACGAGGATGGATAAAGAGGTTTAAGAATCAAGATTCATACTATGTAATCCAAGGTCTAACAGCGATTAGTAATTCGGACAGTAAAAGGTAAAGAGGTAACAAGATTCATACTATGTAATCCCAGGTCTAGCAGCTGTCCTAGTGTCATGCGGGTAAGACCTTCATTGCTGATTTGTACAGAGCCTCCAGCCAATCGCAGTAGCTGCTTCCAGTGACGAGGTCTCATAGCAGACTTACTTAGATCATCTATTATTGGTAGACACGCCTAAATAGACAAATACAACTTTGCTGAATCACGGTAAAAATATAGGATGAGCACAACATGAACTGTTATTGTATGTCGTTTTGAAATACCTGWATGTCCCAAATCGATTCTTCCATACCCTGATACACATCCCATTCCTGAGATTCACCCGGTAAGCTATGTATCACCTCGAGTTGTGCATCGGTAGCTTTACGCATTAGCCTCGTATTAATGCGCTGCCATCGACCTCGTTTCCATTCTGTATGTTGGTCCTGTATAGCACGATTTGTATTCCATACTTGACGAAGACATTCCAAGTCTGATCGAAAACTAAATTACATTGAAATACATTGAAACTTAGTAAAATTAGTAATAATTCACGTAGTGTATGTATCAACTTACCGAGGAAGAACGGAAAAGTTAACTACAACTTTTTCAAAGAGTTCTTGAAGTTCTATCAAATCCTGTCAAGAGAAAATGATACAATCAGATAGGTACGCAGCCTGATAAAGAAACATTTACGAATAACTAAGATAAACTTATCTCAATTGTAACATAAGAGACTTTACCTGTGCTTCCCCTTCCAATACTTGWAGTTTCTTACTGAACGCATCAATCAGAGTAAACGCTCCATAAATTGCACATTTACGACGAAATGCTTCCGAGGCCACAAACTGACGCGATAGAGCTGCACAGCRATCACCAAATGCTTTTAGCTCCTGGGAAAAAGAACGCAGAATGTAAGTGAATGTTTTTWAAGGCGTTTCCCTTGTCATAAGTTAACCTCCTTTGTAGTTCATAATCATGCTGTTTGTATTGTTGCTGTAATTGTAGTTGTTTATAATGTTGTTGTTGGTGGTATTAAAGTTGTCTTACATTGGTAACACTTTTCTCTTCAGCTTGTATTCTTGGTCCAAGGCGTTGTTTAGCTTTGCTAACCTTCATYTTTAGACTATTCCATCTGAAATAATCAGTTTAATGTCAGACCATCCTGTTAGTTTTATATCGATGAAACCAGGATGGTAATGATGGCAATGATATCAATAATGACAACATAATGATAATGATATTATTTTAGATGATGATGATGGTGATGATGATTATAATACAGTCATAATAACGTCGGTGGTTATCACACCTTTGCGGTGCAGCAGTGTAGAATTTCTGTGTCATTTCTGGTAGTTTTTGACCATATCTTTCCAGAAGTGCGATAGTTCTTTTCATCGCAACAAACTTACTGTCCATCTCAGCTTGTTGAGTACTGACCTACAAGAAGAAACATCACGTCTTGGTTAATACAACAACAACAACAACAACAAACACAACAACAACAACGATGACGACGGCATAAAGTGTTTTACCTCATTAAAGACTCTCATAAGACGCATAAATGAAGCAATGTCTTGTTCCTGACCAGTAATAGCTTCAATACCAGGCTCAATGCGTTTTAAGAATGAATCGAGGTCATTTAAAGTCGTGGAGACCTGATAACGAGAATGTAACAGGTGAATGTTGCAATAATGACGGTTAATGAAGATGRGTGTGGTTTGTACCTGGTCAGAGAGGTATTTAGTGTATATAAACATCCACTTGCTGGCATAAGTACCCAACACTTGTTTAATAGGTCTCATATTGACTCGCATCCAACCTACGTCACACCAGTCTTGTAAAGCACTGATTTCATCTCTTGCCGTCTACATTAAAAAAAAAACAAACACAGCTTAAACAACAAATATACAAACCAATCTTTGAAAAGTGTATATGTTGTCCGCGTTATCTGGACAACATATACATATATCTATTCTCTGGTAATTGTGGACAGTAAGTTTGTCCATCCACTTGTCCAATCATTCAGTTGGATTTTATGTACCTCGTAAATTTCTATTTCTTTRTCAAAGTCATCAAGAGAAGGCACGTTGTCTTCCTTGACTTCTTTCAAGGATGACAGCTTAAGTTTCTTGGTGTTGAGGAAAGTCTTCTCTGAGAGACCCATTGCACCACTTGTACTMAGAGTAGAGGCTGCTCCTGATGTACGACTAGAACTAATACAAGAATATCATGGATTACTGACTGGCGAACTAATATAAAATACAAGAATATCATGGACTGGAACATTGAAATCATGAAGAAATAGCTGATCATATAGTTATCAATCTAACAAGCAGTCAATCATTCAGTCATTCAGAAAGTCAAGTCTGACAAACAGTTTAATAATTCTTTACCTTCTAACATCTTTATCTTTGTCTTTCTTTGATCTCTCKGAATGCTGTGAAGCTCTTGATCGAATGTTCTCTGATCGATTCATTTTACGAGGATGTGCCACGATGTTTCCTTCYAGAAAAGCTTCAAACGTYCTTTGCACRTCTTGCATCCAAAGAAAAGCATATTCGCGGAATGTAGCGAGGAAGCCCTGTTGAATGGCAATGAGTATTGATAGTATTAACGTATTAGATAATAAGTATAATATACCAGTATATATCAGACCTTGCATTCTTCGGCATTTTGCTCCACTACTTCAGTGATCTGGCTCACAAGACGCTGTACTTCAATGTCTTCAGCAATGGTTGCTTTGTACGTCTACATGACAAATGCATACCAAGAAAGATAGTACAACATGTAAAACAGATAAAATAAGGAGAGRCAGCCAAACGTACACCTATTATATAGTACATGTTTGAGGTGATTGCTGGGGAGAGGGTGGAGTGGGTGAACTCTTAATTTGGTTGAAATAGATGATATTTACCTTGCGTTTACTATCAACAGGAGGGACCAGRTCACCCCTATTAAGAAAGTCCTGTAGCCATCCATAAACGCTTTCTTGTACGCTAAGTGATGCTGACTGGTTGTCTAAGGTAGGACTRAACATGACTTCCAGGCCAATCAACTCTAGTCTGATAGTAACTATWGGAACGGCTGATGGATCCTATAAACACATCATGTTATAAAACRTTTATTTTYMAAAGCCAATAACGATGGCAAAATGAATGGAAAAGAACAGAAGAAAARTGRAAGTGAGAGAAGGAGGATAGTGTACCCACCTTGGTAAGGTTTGAGTGAACTATTTGGTTGAGCATTGACTGCAATGATGATAAAGTTGACTCTTGTAGACCTTCCAACACTACATTGCTAACATATTCAATATAGCTCTGCCATGATGGGGATGCTCGACTAATTTGTACTGCCTGAAACATACACACATCCAATTAAAATGAACACAAGACACAACCACATGTTTGAAACTTTTATGTACCTCAAATGTGGACTGAAGCAACGCATGGATTCTGTTACCGCCAATGATGATGTTGTTCTTATTCGCCTCATAGACATTCCTACATATTTCAGAAAAAAATATATTTGTGATATTACTGCAGTAAATTACCATTCAGTCAAATTTCAATAAAATGATTAATATAAACTCTAAATGGATTTTAATCCATTCAAGTATTCCACTGTCTGTGATTGTAATTTTTCATCCTGATATGATTTTTTTCCTGGAATTCCATACCTGTGATGTGTGTTCAGCCCGTCCATTGAATATGAAGTACTTGCCAWTCTTGACATGAAGACGTCCAGTTGATTGCCTGAAGACCATGAACTTGCAATATTGCATATCTCTTTAAAGTTGCTTTGCACAATGCCAAGATTATAATGMACATCATCACACACCAARAAAGATGCATGCTCTACAAAGTCAGCAGATTCTACTGTTTTCCAGGAATATTCATGGCGACCTTGGTTTAGAAGCTGGATGACAGGGATAATATATATATCATAACACATTCACCATTATATAATAAGAACATTAAGTAACCAAATGCCTAATTGTCAAAACAAGCAATAAATCTTAACATTAAAAACTGAGAATAATTGCTAATATTAAAAGATATACAAATATGTTTTGTCAAAGGAAGTCCAAATTACCTCATCAATCTTCAGCATTTTCTGTTCAAATAGAGGTTTTTCATAATCTTCCATGCTGGCAATAATAGCATTATAATGAGTGACGATAGTATCAAGGCGAGCAGCWGTAGAGCGCAATAGTCCATTGTCTGTYGATCGGAGCAATATCCTGACTTGGTCTGGGAGGCGAACATTGAAAGGTGGCGAAGCAAGATARTGGATTTCACGAAGTAGYAAYAGCAGCTCAGGATCAAAGTTGACTTGCAACATGGGAGTCTTGCTTGAAGAGTTGATATCTGTAATCTTATTAAACATCAAAAMWAGTCATTATGATTTGAGAAAGAAAWGAAATTCATTATAAAGGTAAACCTACTAGGAGCGGCTGTTTGAGTTTAATCCTAAGCTCTGTCTGCATGTCATTTTGCCATGTTCGAATTGTTTCTGCCTCACATCTGCAATCAAAGCAATACAGTGCTAGAGATACATAGAGTATGATTAAACATACATCACAATGTAYATGAGAAGGTTATAACAAGAGAAAGTGTGGTTATAATCAATTCATAAATTGKTGTTTAATAAGTCTTACTTCTCAATATCACGGAGTAAGTCTGTGAAAGTATCTCTAAGCCTCCAGCCATCATCTCCTTTGAGGGACATGGGAGATACTCGGGTTAAACGAGACATCGGTTCCTGGAATAGACACCTCCATTAAATTTATGTTATTAAGTTACATATCAAGTTCTTCAATATCTAACAGACCTGGATATGGAGCTTGAGCCCTCTCAGCCACAAGACCTTACTAGCCACAGGTGGAAAGTGAGCATGTGATGGAGGGTTATCAACATGCTGTTCAAAAAATGTTTTCACTTTGATCAGTTCATCACGGAATCCATTTACCATGTTGGTGAAGATGTCACGCAGATTAGACTGGAATAAAACAAAATATTATGTTTTCAATGCTGCAATATTATATTTTTAAAGYATGYGTTCAGCTTGTACCTGKACAAGATCTCGTCCACTGATTCCTTCAAACACTTCTAAAAGACGTAGCTTAGCTCTTGTATCCCAGCACTGCTTGAAACTTTGTCGTAGCACATCAGCTAAATTGAACTCTAACTCCTGGAAATACAGAAAAAGCCCTTCAAAACCCAAGGAGGTCAGKTTTATAGAAATATTTGTGAACTTTTGATTACATACCCTTGTTACTGATCGAAAGGAGAAAAAATCTCGYTCAAAATGTCGTGATTCATTAGTATCCAGAACATCCTATAATTTATGAAAATGGAATAAGTATTAAACCAAAAGGCCTTAGATTTCACTGMWTGAAAATATTTTTGTATGATGCAAACCTGTGTCATCTGTTTAAATGAATGCACAGCATGTTTAAATTTCTCATTAATTTCCTTAACGAGGCAATCAAGGCCATCACCACCAGCTCCTCCAACCTCAGCAGCACAYGTCAAAAGCTCAAAATGTCTAGTTGTTTGAACTAATTCCAGAACATCATTACAGCGTTCCATGAAGTTGTTCAGTCTTATGAAACATGCATGGTTCCTTGGAGGCCAGGGAGAGTCTGTCCATATGTCGTTACTGAGGTCATTTATGCTGTCAGAGAGGTGRTCTGATTTACTGAASAGTTTACCAGCCTTGGGTGTGAGGCTGTCGTTGTAGAGTTTACTGTGCCATACTACTCCACTACTATCAACACTATAGCAAAATCATAAATATTACCATATTAATATGTCTTCATAAGACATGTTGTGGATGCAAAGAAATGAAAATAGTTGATTTCAGTGTGATGACATACTTTGTCCCAATTTGCTGAGACAGTTTAGCTTGATTTAAATCATCTGCTTTGTCTTTCTTGTCCAAGTAACAACCACGGAATGCTGCACAGATGCGAAGAGCATCCTTCAAACTGGTGTAAGACTATAAACAGCAAGATAGAATTAATTCAGATTTTGAAAGCATGTATAAATTGAAATTATCAATGATAAAAACTGATTGAGTAATTGATTTAAGTGATACCCAAGTCATTCATACAAGTAATTCCTATTTTTTTACCTCTGTCAAATTCTCTAGAACATTTTCKCCAACTAAGTACCGTGCTCTAGCAACAACTTCATTGGACAGCATGGTAAGAAGTCTTGTGAAATTCTTGATTTCATGATAATATCTATTAAAAAAAAGTACCATTACATCTCAATCATAGTCAAATATCCAGGTAATACATATGTCCAGGACATCATACCTGGAATGTGTCCAGACAAGGTAGAGGGTATGAATCAAAGGTGAAAACAGGTCAGTCATTTCTTTTGATGTTGTAGCAAAATGAAGTTTTTCAAACCATGGAAGTAAAGTACTCAGGAACTGAAGGTTGTCATTACTCTCAGTCTCAGCCTAGAAAAATAATTTCATACTTTAAATGTCATAATCTCAGACTTCAAACTTTTTGGGGAAGGCAAGATTTCAAGAGAAAATCAAACTTTTACAGGTGATATGTATCAAGACCTCCTTTTCTTCAGTATTTAGTGTTTTATAGGAAAGAAATACTGATTGATTGATTATGTTCAGATTKGAATTCCTAACAGCATTGACTGGAGGTTAYTCCATATAATATGAACCAATACAAAACAAACCTTGATAATCTCTCTCTTGACCAAGTGAAAGGACTGTGAGTAGGTACTATGTGCATCTTCAAGGTTCATAATGATGTTTAATGCTATATGTGAGCCTAATTGATCACTGATGTTATTGATCTTTTCCAAGTGCTCTGACCACATCTAAAATCAATCAGCCCAATATATGTATCAGTCCATGAAGGATTGAAGATAGTGGAAAAAATGAGAAAAGGAAATGTGGGAACATCAAGAGGCTTTCCTCATATCAGCARTGTGTGGACAGGAAAGATTGAATGTCAAGAAAAAGAGAACAAAAGGAATAATGGGACAGGATGGAAGAATGRGAAGAAAAATGGAAAGAAAGAAATATTACCTCAATTTCATCTAGTGGAAGAGGCTTAGAGCCAAATCTCTTKGCTATTTCTAACTCTGGATCCAGTTTCAATATTCCCTACAATGAAAATCAAAATATTTGTAATTTATGACAATTAKCAAACCAACATTATAGTCAACCGAGTGTAGTAGCTGCACTAAGAAGTGCATATATATAACCTTAATCTGTTTAATCCAGTTAATGACTGCAGTCTCCAATACATGGATAACTGCTGGTCTTCTATTGCTGTATGCTGCAGCTTCTGAAAGCACTTCAATTGATGGAAGAGGAAGGACGACATCATCCTAAAAACAATAGGATCAAACAAACCTTTATTGAATTTACACAGAAGTGTCATGACGCATACAAGTTTAAAACGTTTATAGAATGCATATTTTTTTAATAATTCAGTGATCAACTTGTGCTTTCACTGATCACAACACAAAATAAAACACTGAAGCGTTTCATATACACAGAACTAATTTTTATATTAGATGGGAGAAATTAAAACATCCTACAATATGTATAGTACCCTGATTTTACAGACAGGCCTGAGTTGTGTTAGTACTACCCTAGCCCATCTGAATATCACACTAATAATATATAGCTTTATCTGTTTTTATTAACAAATTCAGCAATATGCCATGGTTGATTTCTTTACTTACATTAATTGTCCCATCAGTAACCTCCATATTTGCTACTAGCCGATGTAACAAATCCATCAATTTATCAGCACTGACACTGCCGCCCATCTCAATGCTAAGCAACGGCAGGTAGACATCTCTTGTCAGTGTACTGAGATAGTCAAGTGGTTTGTTTGAACAATCACAAAAAGCAACATCATCCATAACATTATCTCTAGTCACTTTCCCAATGCCATGAGACTTGACAAAAAACATGGCTTTCTCTCGTACTGTGTGGGGAGGCGTGAGGGAGGCAGTGAGGCCATTTCCATGAGTGGATGATGAAAATATGTATAAATGTTTGACTTCTTCATTGTTACAGAATTCAAACATGGCTGTCCTGTGAATTAAAAAAAATATGTCTTACTCAAGAATAAATTGATTAATAGTTACTAGAATGTTATCATAATTGTTGTAGGACTAATGATATATTGTCCTTGCATGCATTTGCATGTGTACGCGCTTTTCACATCACCATTAACATTAATAGTAATGTCATCAGTGTTGTTGTTCCACAAATAAAAACATATTAAACACCCTTCACTTTTACGCATTAGTTCCAGCTAGATGAATAAATATTCACGTTTTAGATCGAAAGTTTTAGACTCGTGCAAAAAATAACAAACCTGCACGCATCGTTCGTAAACAAATGCTTGAGTTCCTCCGCTCTTGGTTTGAGAGACGAAGTTACCCTTGTTTCTATCCATCGAAGTCTTTCGTCAAGCTCCATAATTTGATTACTTTTGACTGTGACGAATCTAAAGAATAAAAAGTAACTGTTAAAAGCCATAGATATTAATTGATGATGCAGAATATGACAGCATGAATTATAACTTACTTTTTGTCATCATAAAAATAAAAAATTAACGCAGAAGTCAAACCACAATGTGACTTTGACATCAATGTCCAGCTTAATTCCAAAATGCATTGTAAATTCTGAGACATAACTTCGTTATAAGCAAATTGCTAACATGTTTTTTTGTAATTTGATTTGTTTGGGGAACCTTTGAACTATTTTGCAAGTACTCGATAAATTCAGAATTCGCGCGAAAAGAACAACGACTAAACATCAAATGTTATCCCCTTGRAAACTGTTTTGAATATACGATAAGTGGGGAGACAAACATAAACTGTCTTACCTTACCTAGGTCATGGTTATATATTGAACAATTCGATTTTATAAGTCCAATTACACGGATAACTTTTGGATGTAGCAACAGGAACCGGCGCCATATTGTTTGACTTTCGTTGCTATCTTGGGTCACGTGACAAAATCATCATTGTCCGCGAGCTGCCGCAACTACCGTACGAGAAAACAAAATAGTAAATAAAGCGAAAAACGAAAGGAAAGAAGGAAATTCTTAATAGGAACGTACGATTTTTTAGATTAAATTAGATTAAATTAAATAATTGTTGTTTTAATTTCAATGAGAATTTTCAATGATATGATGTCAATGTCCAAATGCTTGCGCATTTTTAAAAAAATGAAAGCCAGTTAAGAAATAGCACAGACATCAGATTCTTGGACTTACATGCATAAGGCATTAATGTTTTGTTGTTGCTTTTGTTGTTGTTGTTGTTCTATTTTTATCTATTTTTTTCATCAAGAGAAATCCCACATTCCCCTGCGCTCCTAGTAATATTCCAAAATGGCGGATGTGTTTGAAAGTGGCAATGCTCAAACTTTAACAGCGGGAATTATCATAATAGGTGATGAAATCCTCAAAGGGCACACCAAAGATGTAAATTCTCATTTTCTGGTCAAAAGGTTCTGGTCCCTTGGTATTAAAGTGTGTAAAATTTCAGTTGTGGCTGACGATGAATCGGATATCTCACACGAGGTACAGACATTCTCGAAAAGCTACACGTTCGTCATAACAACCGGAGGCATAGGACCAACACATGATGATGTTACTGTTCTCAGTATAGCTAAATCATTTAATGAGAAGATTGTCAAGAATGAGAAAGCTGCAGAGCTCATTGCACAAGCTTATGGCGTCCAAAAATCCAACTTGAATGAATCTCAAATGAAGATGGCAATGTTGCCGTCGTCTGCAGAGCTTGTTCACAGCAAYGATATCAAAAATAATCCTTTTCCTGTGATCCGTGTACACAACGTGTACATTTTCCCTGGTATTCCCCATTTTGTGGAGAAAGATTTCCTTGGTATTGAACATGTTTTTGATCAGGGCAGGAACAATGAGTTCCACCTTTGTAAGGTGTTTCTATCTGTCGATGAGACACAAATCGCACATGTGTTGGATGAAGTGAATGAAAAATACAAGAAAACTGTACAGCTTGGATCCTATCCAGAGTTCTGCAGTCGTGATTACCAAGTTAAGCTGACACTTGAGTCAAATCGCAAACAGGAAGTAGAGGATGCTTGCCATTACCTATTAGGGAAGCTCCCTGTAGCAAACATTGTCAGAGTAGAAGGTTTGGAGATGGAAAACAGCAATGAAGGTATGGGATAGGACTGGTTGGAATAAGGGAAATGTAATGTAAATGTGCAATGTAATGCAATGTAAATAACAATAATAAGTCTGAAAATTCTTCACTTTTTTCAAGCTGTAAAGTGGCAAGACATTTTCGTTAAACTTTTTTTTAACGTCTCACCACTTGGCAGTTCAAAAGAAATCATAACCAAGGAAATACAAGCCTTTTGGTATAGACCCTATTGCTATATTCCATGAATATTGCTAAATTTTTTCAATATTGTGTCATTTCAGCAAAACCACAAGATAKATCTTGTATAAATGAGATCTTATCTCTGCTGAAATCATCCAACAACTCCAACATTAGTGGATGCGTGAAAGGTGCTTGGGCCGTCCTTCAAGAAGTKTTGCGAGAGTACAGCCTTGAAGAACTCTGCCTCAGTTTCAATGGAGGGAAGGATTGCACYGTCCTTTTGCATCTATTTCATGCTGCAGTCTCACAGAAATGTAGTCAAAATACCAAGATTAATGCATTATACATCAAATATGATTCACCATTTCCAGAAGCTGAAGAATTCATACAAGAAACAATAAAGCGATATAAYCTTAACCTAATTACTGTAGAGGGAAATATCAAATCTGCATTACAAGACCTAAAGACCACACATCCTAAGATCAAAGCCATTCTACTAGGAACCAGAAGACATGATCCATTCACTGAGAGATTACGTACTTTTACTTGTACTGATCCAGGATGGCCTGAGTACATGAGAGTCAACCCAATACTTGACTGGCATCATTGTGATGTCTGGTCTGTCATTCTACACTTTAGGATTCCATACTGTTCACTGTATGATAAGGGTTATACTTCATTAGGTAGCACACATAATACACAGCCAAATCCAGCACTTAAAGTGGATGGCGAAAAGTATAAACCTGCTTATCTTCTAGAAGATGATCGTCAAGAACGAGCAGGACGAACTTAGAAGGGCAGTGTCCCCATTTTATTTACATTTGGTTAAGAACAAAGCTACTAACAAATATTCAAATACTCATTAATTATTCACGAGGTATCTAGCCAATCCTTGTTCGTAATTCATACCACGTGCAGTAACTGGAAATCGGAGGAAGTTACTAGGCGTACTGAATTAATTTTGTTCCAGTTACTCCGTACTGAATTAATTTTGTTCCAGTTACTCCAAGCTGATTTAATTTCTCAGATAATTTCAAAGTCCAAGTTATTGAAGTTCTTTTAAACAAGTAGAAATAGTAAACTAAGTTTAGAATTTAGTGAAAAAAATCTATGATAAATTTCATCTTGAGATTCGAACTCCCAACCTTCTGATCTATGCCCTCCGCCTTAAACCATTACACCACTCACTATCCGATGAAAAATCTCGGAAGATAAAATAATTTTAAATGTTATGAATAAGTTCATTAGGATTAAAATGAATAGCAGACAGGGAATTTGAATAGCTTTTGTTTCTTATGCCCAAATGGGGATTGAAGAACAATAAATAGAGCTCAATGATGTAAATATGAAATCCTGCATGAAGGAGCAAATATAACCAATATATTCCTATAGACTTTTAATATTTTTCGGCCCTTTTCTCCTCCCGAATAATTAATGAGGATTTGAAGTCGTTCCAAGTCCTCCAATTCGGACTGGACAGGATTTCAAGTCCTTGCAATTAGTTCCAGTCCTCGGCTGCGCCTCGGACTGGAACTAATTGCGCGGACTTGAAATCCCGTCCAGTCCTCATTGTCGGACTTGAAACATTACATCATATACTATCATATAATAAACGTATTTATGAAAAAGCGTATTTATGCCAGACCGTTAGTTTTAAGATTGATTTAACTATACGAACAAGTGTATGTACGTAGATTAATTTCGATCTGCTCCAGGTCTCCCAGGAGTCTCAGGACTGGACTAAGATCAATTTTGAAAGAATTGTAATAAATAACTACAATAAGCACGTTTGTTTGTTTTTATTATTTTGCACACTTTTGTCGCATGATAAAACGGCATAGAGCGACKTCAGATCTAACGAGTACTCATTACTTATTAAAAATACGGTTTTCGTAGTGGTTCCGACAGTGCATTCTAGAAGCATAAAAGCCATATCCCTTTCTATCCCTTTCTAAATCTAAATCCCAGATCACACGGACCTCTACGAAACGGGAGAATCGGCATAATGAAGARTTCTATGACAGTACATTTTATTGACTTACAATGAAATAAGATTTTTAGTTGCGACAATTTATTTTTAACTTCAACCATCTAAATCACGATTGGCCTCGTAGCTCAATGGGTGTTTAGGACTGCAGTGGCGGATTCAGTGATTTTGCGAAGGAGGGACAGTAAAGTTCTGTGTCAATCGGGCATGACCCAGTAAAACTTTAAATTTTAGATCCACGGAAAAGCGATTTCCAGCATTTTGAGGGAGTTTGGCAACGTTTCTTTTGTGCTTCTGTTTTGATTTCCTCTTTTTGCCCACTTTTTATTTAGCAAAAAGGGGGCCGCGGCCCCTTCGGTCCCCCCTAACTCCGTCCCTGGTAATACGTTGACATACCCATAGTGAGATTTTATATATAAGGACTTCGCCAATGACAAAGCTTCCAGTGTACTTCACTTTCGGCCTGAATGTGGGCCGACAAGTATGGAGTGGTTCATTAGAGAGCTCTCATTAGACTTGCCACAAGTCTCTCAAATAATGGAAAGAACTAGAAGACGGAGCGCAAAGGGACTAATGAAAAGGCTAAAAGGGACTTTGTGGAAGTCTAGTGTTTCATAGATCACACAATTTCACTTCATTCAATTGTGGTAGTGTGAAGCAGTGCGCATTTGAGTCCTAAAAATAAAGTTTTGGATCCAAGGTAACTTAAAAACTTCAGTTTGACCCTATTATTCCAGCGTATATATTTCATCAATGATACTCCTACAATGTGAGCTTGGCTTTCATCATTGTTAGCCTTATGTCACTCCTTCATAAACCACTCAAAAACACAAGAAAATAAAAACGCCATCCATCAAKATGAACWCTTGTGCTTGCGTCTTATCTTWATACTTCCCCTTATGATTCCGCTTTTGAATTCTCGATCTCGTTGAAGGGGTATGATAAYCCTTTTTTCGCATATCCCAGAATACAACACAAACATAATACACAAACAATGGAGGTTCATTTGTCTGTCTTTTAATTGGTTAAAAACAATAAATAAAACATTACGACTCTGTTGCTTGCGGAATAAAAAGTGTAATCTAGCGGTGGGACTGATTTAATTAAAAAAATGTTATCATTGATGTAGTGGTTCACTTTTCCCATCGCACCATGCTATAGACCCACAATGAACTGATTCAATGTTGAAAATAGTCTCGTACAAACAGGAAGCCCAAACTCGATTATGCAACTATTCCAAGATCCTACGACAATGAACACAAATATTCGTCAGAATGGGCTTCCTTTTCCTAAACTTTCAACCAACAAAAATAAATAAATTCCAGAGATAAAAAGTAAAAATAAAGCTTTTTTGTAACGGTTTTAAAGCTGTATACTGACTTTGAGATATTGAAATTCAAACTAGGTTTGAATAAAGTTTTAACAAAGAGTGTATTTCAACATCTCAACCTGGTAGCASTAGTCCTAGGTCACGCGCGATGTCCTATTGCGCGCTGCAAGCAAGTGACCKGGGACTCGAGGTGTTTGTCCTTAGAATGAACGAGTCAAAAAAAGACTTTGCCGTTTTCCCTTCTACCAAAGTTGACCTCGAAATTGCTTACAAGCCTAAGGCATCCACTACAGTAAAACAAATGAGCAGAGATTTACGCTCAAACATGGTCTAAAATCATTAAAAACAAATCTGTCTAACAAATATACATGTATAAAAACAGCTGAAACATAATTTTAAAATGTTCCTAGTATATATTAGTCCAATATTTTAGTACGACTGTTTTTTTCTATTCCTTTTTTTCATTTGATTCCCGTTCACAAAATGAGGAGTTCAYAGGTGGAACTTAAAGCGTTTGGGATTCAACCCCTTCCTCCCTCAAAMCCCCCTAAAAAAATTAGTCCCACTTCCCAGTTACGTTCATGCGAGCCAATAAATACTTGGTCCCTATTAGACTCGATGTTATCTCTTGTTTAAAATCAAAACTTTCAACGGAAAAGTAGGATTTGCAGTGAGAACTGAGTCGCAAACTGTCGGACACGCAGCGGTATTCGGTCAACATAACGCAATCTAAGATCCCTGTTATCCCTAAAATAAAACCTTCCATCCTTGAGAGCATGGCGTTGATCGTAAAGCACTGCCACGCTTTTTAGTGCACGGTATCCTGACGTGATAAGATGTATTCATCACGTTGCGTGCATTGGCACGGCGGGCTGCAGCCACGCAGGGAATATCCCTGGTCTCCTTCTGTCTCACAGAGCCAGCCTTCCTCTCGCCGTCTCACGAGATGTAAAATAAACAAGCCAATCCAACTTGCATGTTGCTAGTTGCTCACAACAGGACTGGGTTGAACACAAACTCCTACCATGGGAGAATCCTCACCAGTAGAATGTTGTTGTACAATATCCCTTCGATTGGTCCCACGCTGATTCGGTACGGCATTTGTTCCTGATGAGTAGTATTCGTATGTATTATTTGTTGTGGAATAATTCGCATCTTGTGATGTTGCGGAACCTGTGTAATTGCGATTGGAGCAGACCTCTGTCGTAGATCCTACGCCGGAGTTTGTGCCGATCTGAGGCGGCTGTTCCATGTTCATTGAATTACAAGAACTCGATGATGAAAAATTAGACATGGTTTCCGAGCTGTAGTAAACCCGTGAACCATGAACGTAATTCCGTCCTGTCCCGCGTCCTACTTCGCCGCTGTGTGCAGATACAGACGCGGAACTATATGCTGACGAGCCTTCACTTAAAGTGTTTGATGCTCCCATGTGTACAGCCTGAGTACCGCCTCTCGATTCTGAATCATTCGAAGCTGTACGTTCTATTGTTTGTTTATAATTTGCACCCGAATTGCTCCATGTGGTTTGGCCCTTAGTGCTTGGGCTATCACATTCCATTGCTGATGATGCAACTGAACCATGCGCTGTAGGATCTGAGCATGCGCGGTTGCCAGCAGCGCTGGTAGTGTTCGAGGGAGTGTCAGTGGTAGTGCAACCTTGCGCAGGGGAAGATGTCGCGGAATGTGTCGTGTTTGTTCCTTCTTCGGCTGTCTTTTTGAAAAAGCAGTGATGTAAAGCTGCATAAGGTGTTATTCGGTTATTGCGATCGAAATCTAACATTCTTAGAATAAGATCCTTGAATTTTAAATAGTCCTGCAGTGTGTGGCCAGGTTCACCGAGCCGTCGACCTCCTGGCCCACCTGTCTCACAGCCTAAGACATCGTGAAGCTTTCGGCTCCCCTCAGGTAGGTATTCCTAAAACACAAATGACAAMGCTATAAAGACAGACAATAGAATGGTTTTAACAAGCCATGAAATACATTTTAGCGTACAACACATTATGACGTTTTATTTTACACGTATGTTTCTTTTCCTTTTTTTTAGGGATATCATACTTTGTTTCACAGATTTTGAAAATACCTCCGTCTTTCAGGGATAGATAGATAGATCAATCTCACCTTCTTTCCCTCTTTACTCTTTTTGCACACGTACGTCCCATCAGGTAAACGATCAAAAAACTTTCTAGCCTTCGGCGATTCATCCAACATTTCTTTTGGAGGCATGCCTAAAACTTCCACAATTTTCATCATCTGGTCGAACTATACAAAGAAATGAAATAAGAATCAATCATATTTCCTAGCACCTATAACAACTAAAAAGAGTTCRTAGTATCTGTATGTCAAGTTATGAAACTTACTTCATTTGCTCCACTAAATAACGGTTCCCCTGTGTGCATTTCAACCAGAATACAACCGAGGCTCCACATATCAATCGCAAGGTTATATGGGATACCTAACAGCACTTCCGGTGACCGATAAAACCTACTTTGAATATACTGGTAGATCTGCAAGAATTGAAACAAAAATACATTAGTTCGTGATGGAAATATCGCCAGCGCAGAAAATTAACAATATCATAAAAACAATATCTTTAAACGTGTTTTAAATCATTCGGACATACTGATTTTTCATATCCGTTTTTCTGGTCGTTTCTTTACTCTGTTTTCCCTAACCCTCCTACGCACTCATCTATATCATTACAATATTAATGAAGATCAAAGATTATTTTTGTACATTCTGCGGTATTTTTATCATCTTCTTTAATTATATTTTTTCATTCGTAAAATACAATAATCACCGAAATATTCCATAGCAGATTACAAAATGAAATTATCATAAAAAAATAGTGGAAAAATGGCGTTACAACTGGAATGAATATTTTAATTCTAAGATCATGGATGACAGTCTGTAAAGACTTTAATACCAGACTCGGTCAATGTCAAAGAAGTGAATGTTTCTTCGCACTAAACGTAAAAATAGTGTCAGAACTTAGAAAATAAAGCCAGCTTCGATCAATTATTAACAAATCATGGCGAATCTTAGACAACCAGAAATTTGCATAAGTGCTAGACAGTTTGGTCTTGTGACTTTGTCAAACAATGACATACATGGTGTATTGTGTGACTGAAATGAGTCACCTTGAAGCTGATTGGCCGATAGGTCGTAATTGATTAGAAAGCCTTTGAGCTGTCACCTGACGATAGATAACTCAATTGATTCACCATCGCCCACACAATAGCGCCAAGTATGGAGAATTTACTTCACGATAACAGAATAATAACATAACACCGTAAAAGATGCAAATAAAAAACTCAATTCAAACCACACAAAAATGTATTGAAAAAAAATTTCTTGCAAAATATACACAGACGATTGTATAAAATTTATGTATTTGCTACAATATTTCAAATCAGTTTTTAATGACTTTATTTTCGTATCAAATTGTTGTGCATGGCTGATAAGAATTCTTTTTTGGTAAGTGTGAGAGTGTAAGAGTGCCGTTTTACCGATTTCAAACGTCTTTTCCCGCCTACACACAAACTATAATATCAATTTTAAAACCAATTTAGATAGCAGCGACATTGCTGGGAGAAATAATTAGAGAACTCCTCCGCAATGTTACATAAACTAGTTTTACTTATTGAATGGATTTCGATAGTCTGCGACAATTACTCAATTTCTACGTCAGTTTCAAAACCTTCAAATTTTAAATACTCAATCAGCAAAATGATCTATTTTGCTAATAACTTTTTTCACCCTTCCCCCCTACTATTTTGTCTCACTTTTTTTATTTTCCTGTCCTTAAAAGAGAGAACAACAGGAGAGGATGACAGGAAAAAAAGGGAAAAAAAAGGGAAAAAACACACACATCAAATGCAGCAATGGCAATGAAAGATACATACCCTTGAGCCTATTTGACAAGAGCTTCCAAAGTCCACAATTTTGATAGCACTTCTTTTTGGATTGCACAATAATATATTTTCAGGTTTTAAGTCACAGTGGATAATGCTCAGTTCAGGAGTGCATAGAAATAGCAGAGCAGTGCACATTTGCTGAGCAAATTTTCGAGTTAAATTAAGAGAAACTCCTCGAAAGTTTGTGTTGCGAAGTAAATCGTATAAATTGTAAGACAGCAGTTCAAACACTAAGCAAAGATGGTTCCGCCACATAAAATGTCTCTTTAAGCGAACTGAAAGAGATAAAAAGACAGAAAATTAGAAAAATGACAAGCATTGAACATTAGGGTGGAGATGATATCTTCTGATGATTTCTTAGATGTTTATAATTTTAGATTTTTTATCAATCYCTGTTTCATTATCATCAGTCGACATCCATAATTATCAAATTTTATATGAAACCATTTGTATCATTTTAACAGCTTATTATAGTCACTAATAAATACTGAATAATTGCTAGTCAGTTTATAATGGCTGTTGAACATATTATCTACAAATCTAATTCAATCCTCAAATAATGTTCGACTGGGGTATGTCTTTTAGAAGCTTACAAGTATCCTCAGAAAACACAGCTATTTCAACAAAGGTTGTTGAAGAACTCTTCATGCTTACTAATGGATAATACAATTAGCCATCAAATTTAGTAAATAATGCTGTAAATGTTTGAAGATAATTTGTTTTTTTCTGTGTTCTTTCATATTATCCATTAATTCATTATCATCCAAAATATCATCCAACCAGCCTTATTAAAGAGTGTTACAAAACTAAAACAGGTCCTATTAACAATGAATACTTCCTAAAAGTAGTATTTAAAGATACATATTAATTTCTAATACTTCTAGAATTCCCAAAGTCACAATGAAAAATTTTGGTTCCTTTGCATTGAAGCAATGCATTGGTAAGGCTATGGTTGACACCTGTACATAAATGACCCAACCACCATCATGATTTAAAACAGAGTATTAATTCCATAGTAAAGATGTTAATAGAAGGATAGAAAACCATGAAAAGGTTGTGTGAAATGAAATATTACATGACAGAATGGACATGAAGCTCACCTATGTAATATTTGCCTTCAGGATCATGTCGATTCATCAATTCCAACAATTTAACCTCAATTTGTGCTTGATTTAAAAATGGCTTTTTATTTTTGATGATTTTGACTGCAATATGTTCCTTTTCTTGGTGGTCATACGCTTTGCAAACCTGCAACAGGATGGAATTAATTACAAAAAGAACACCAAACAATGGTTTTCAAGTATAATAGTCAACAAATGATATCCCAAAAAGACAAAGAATTTACATGAAAAATAATGACTAATAAAGAGTGATACCCCAAAGGGTAATGAATAACAATGGATGTTTAGTGAATATTTTTGGCTAAAGTCAAACAGCTGCAAACATTTTCTTTATCAATTTCAAGTTGAGGAATACTTTTAGTCAATGAAGTCTATTAAGAAGTTATTAATAATAGCATGAATCTAAAAGCCACAGTAAAGGTGGTCAGTCAAACTTATTGATAAGCTGCTATGCTAAAATTAGAACTCTGATAAACTCTTTACTTCCTGTTTCCTTATAGACTTTCAATATCAATTGTTATAAACATTTTGTTAGAGTGCCAATAAAATATCATTATTAAAAGAAAAAAAATATTTATCTATTGCTATAAGGTCTTTTAAACCATTCTAAAGAACTGATCAATTTTGCATGCAATGACATCTYTCTTTGATCTATTTTAAACTTCCTCCCATGCAACATGTTCTATTCTTAGCTATTTTGCAATAGTTATGACATGACCTCAAACTGTTTTGTGTGTGGGAGGATGTTTATCACTCAAAAACAAAATATGGAAACAATGCGCTCAGACATCTACATCCCAAGTTAATTGATACATTAATAAAACAGTTGCCAATATTCAGCCCAATAACAGCATTTTTAATCTCCATTTTTTGTTTCATTGATGTTATGCTTTTGAGAACAGCATTAAAAATTTATACCTTCAAGATGTTTAAAGATAGCTTGAGGACTTTAACTACTTTTCTATTTCTGATGAAATTATTGATATTAAAAACATTTTAGCAATGTTCCTAAAGTTTTGATTAGATGAATTTTTATGGAAAAAAGAAGTAGTTTTAAAAGCCACAATTTTTGGTTCTTATTTTTCTCTCGGAAATAATATAATTCTCATCCATTTCACAAGGATTAGGAAGGGCTAAAACCAAAAGTATTCTTTGCTTCACAGACGAATGCTCTACAAAAGGTTACGATTACAACTGCACMCGGATGTTGAGTGTAATCATGCAAAAAACTGTCATTTGAGCTAAGGAAACATAATCAAAGGAGAAAAATCAATCAAGAAACGTGGACAAAGGAAATACATGAACAGTACTAATTTGAGTATATTTTGCCAGTTGAACTGATCTGTTTATATTAAACACAATTGCTTTRTTACTCTTCAAATAAACATCACAAGGATGTTTGTGTTTTTAGTCCATACTAACATTCCAGCTACTAAATTTAATATTAATTTTGAGGCAGTTTCAAATAATTTGTAGTATTTAATGATATAGACATAAGAATAATAAGTCTTACTATTAAAAAAATGGCATGGRGATTACAACAATAGGCATACAAGTACTGATAAAGGTTAACAATCAACCATCAATTCTAAGATGGTGCTGAGAGTAACATTCTTACCTGTCCAAAGGAGCCCTTTCCAATCAATGACTCAATTTCATATCGATCAAACCACTTTTCACCAACTTTCACAATATAATCGTAATTTTCGTCATCATAACCATCATTATATACCCGTTTCTCTTTCTTTGATCCACTGTCATTGACTGGATCATTTGGTTTTATTTTCCTTTTCTTGGCATAGTACACCTGTGTGGTTATAATTAGTACAGTGAATAAAAGAGCATGTAAATGAATAGATTGTAAGGTAAAGTAAAACTCCACGTCATGTACAGTAGGAGACTATAATTGGAGAACGGTTCAGGCTGAAATTTTCAATTCGATCACCCTTTACATAAGAACAATTTTAGCCTGCAACTTCAAAGTAGTTCCGTAATTCCAAAGAATAATATACATTATAATTAAATAATATTAATTATAAGGATAAAATATTTAGCACTCTGTATTAAAGTGCTGCGTCTGTGAAAAAATCTATAAATTGTTGCTACATAACACTTTACTCTTCTTCTTACCAACCCCATGTAAAACAATTATCTAGAGTAGAAAGCCTGATATCATGTTAAGAACCAATTTATATAAGAACCTGTTCATGCAGACTAGGAAATTAAAATCTAAGCTTTTAAATGTGAGAATCTGGCCTTAAGGGGTATGCATGGTTGGCTTATAATATGTTTACTATGTGTAACATACCTCGTTTATCTGTTTATATGTCTTAATCAAGTCCACACTTAATTTCCGCAATGGAGCTCCACTTGGGTCTCGAAACTTTGTTGGAATTCTGCTATAAAATGTTTGTGCACCRCCAGCAAAGTCTACATCATCTGTTTGATCTTCACTTGTCATCACACAATTCATGTTGGGAATATTATTAGTTGCTGGAGTCTGTCCTTCATATTTACCTGAAAACACAAAATGTTTATCACTACATACTGTATACACTGTAAGCTTGATTTTAATAAGGCCACAGTTTTATGACTTGAAACCTGGTTACTGTTTGTTATTAATGCAAAAGCTTTGTTAGAATAAAATTATAAGGAAATAGAATAATAGACATTTTTTCAGCCTTGCAATAATCCCCCACTTATTAGTAGTATCCAGTATCTTATTAGTAGTATTACAGTAGATAATTTGAAAAAAACAAAACAAAAAAAACACACACAAAAAAAATCAAAGTTAAAATTTAATCTTGAATGAGAATGCTGATTTTGCTGCAATTGTGTAGATTTGTAATATTATTGATTGTCCTATACCAAAAAAAATAAATAGATAATTTAACGAATAAAAATCAAATAAAACAAAATAAACTAAAAAATAAACACAGGTTATTCTCAACATGTAGTACAGGTTCAAAGTCTACAATTGTAAAACGCTCAACCTGTTAAAATTGAAACCTTTAATAAATTCAGCATCAATGGTGAAAAAAAAACCCTCAATGCTTTATGCATCTAATGGATATTAAACATCAGTGGTTTAAATGATTAAAAGGTCGATCAATGATGTGACGCAGTAGACAACCTTGATGGGATAAATAGTCTATTAATTATTTATGAGCATTACAAAATGTAATAAAATCCCTTGACTGTTTGTATTGTTATCGTCATCAATTTACTTTTACTTTCTGGTTGTCATTTTTCATGTAAACAAATTCGGAAACAATGATGAAAATAATTAAAGTTTAGATGTGATTATTACCTGCTGGCAATCCTTCTTTCCCAGCTCCAGCCTCATCCATTAGGTTATCCACAACATTTTATCTGTTACAAGAAAGCCTTTATCAAATTGTGTAAATTTAAAAATCAACTCAGTTCATTAATATAACAAACAGTATTTCATCAAAGTGATTTGTTGCTATGGACACAGACTAAAGTTGTCTGGAAACTCCTCCATTTTAAAAGAGATAAAACTGATATCTCTGTGGTTTGATGTTTTGCTTAAATTACATTTTCATGAAACATGAGATACTTGAGGAAAGGCTAACCTATTTTAAGTAAGAACAAATTGAAAATATGAATTTCTGCAAATTTACTGATNAAGTCTTACTATTAAAAAAATGGCATGGGGATTACAACAATAGGCATACAAGTACTGATAAAGGTTAACAATCAACCATCAATTCTAAGATGGTGCTGAGAGTAACATTCTTACCTGTCCAAAGGAGCCCTTTCCAATCAATGACTCAATTTCATATCGATCAAACCACTTTTCACCAACTTTCACAATATAATCGTAATTTTCGTCATCATAACCATCATTATATACCCGTTTCTCTTTCTTTGATCCACTGTCATTGACTGGATCATTTGGTTTTATTTTCCTTTTCTTGGCATAGTACACCTGTGTGGTTATAATTAGTACAGTGAATAAAAGAGCATGTAAATGAATAGATTGTAAGGTAAAGTAAAACTCCACGTCATGTACAGTAGGAGACTATAATTGGAGAACGGTTCAGGCTGAAATTTTCAATTCGATCACCCTTTACATAAGAACAATTTTAGCCTGCAACTTCAAAGTAGTTCCGTAATTCCAAAGAATAATATACATTATAATTAAATAATATTAATTATAAGGATAAAATATTTAGCACTCTGTATTAAAGTGCTGCGTCTGTGAAAAAATCTATAAATTGTTGCTACATAACACTTTACTCTTCTTCTTACCAACCCCATGTAAAACAATTATCTAGAGTAGAAAGCCTGATATCATGTTAAGAACCAATTTATATAAGAACCTGTTCATGCAGACTAGGAAATTAAAATCTAAGCTTTTAAATGTGAGAATCTGGCCTTAAGGGGTATGCATGGTTGGCTTATAATATGTTTACTATGTGTAACATACCTCGTTTATCTGTTTATATGTCTTAATCAAGTCCACACTTAATTTCCGCAATGGAGCTCCACTTGGGTCTCGAAACTTTGTTGGAATTCTGCTATAAAATGTTTGTGCACCRCCAGCAAAGTCTACATCATCTGTTTGATCTTCACTTGTCATCACACAATTCATGTTGGGAATATTATTAGTTGCTGGAGTCTGTCCTTCATATTTACCTGAAAACACAAAATGTTTATCACTACATACTGTATACACTGTAAGCTTGATTTTAATAAGGCCACAGTTTTATGACTTGAAACCTGGTTACTGTTTGTTATTAATGCAAAAGCTTTGTTAGAATAAAATTATAAGGAAATAGAATAATAGACATTTTTTCAGCCTTGCAATAATCCCCCACTTATTAGTAGTATCCAGTATCTTATTAGTAGTATTACAGTAGATAATTTGAAAAAAACAAAACAAAAAAAACACACACAAAAAAAATCAAAGTTAAAATTTAATCTTGAATGAGAATGCTGATTTTGCTGCAATTGTGTAGATTTGTAATATTATTGATTGTCCTATACCAAAAAAAATAAATAGATAATTTAACGAATAAAAATCAAATAAAACAAAATAAACTAAAAAATAAACACAGGTTATTCTCAACATGTAGTACAGGTTCAAAGTCTACAATTGTAAAACGCTCAACCTGTTAAAATTGAAACCTTTAATAAATTCAGCATCAATGGTGAAAAAAAAACCCTCAATGCTTTATGCATCTAATGGATATTAAACATCAGTGGTTTAAATGATTAAAAGGTCGATCAATGATGTGACGCAGTAGACAACCTTGATGGGATAAATAGTCTATTAATTATTTATGAGCATTACAAAATGTAATAAAATCCCTTGACTGTTTGTATTGTTATCGTCATCAATTTACTTTTACTTTCTGGTTGTCATTTTTCATGTAAACAAATTCGGAAACAATGATGAAAATAATTAAAGTTTAGATGTGATTATTACCTGCTGGCAATCCTTCTTTCCCAGCTCCAGCCTCATCCATTAGGTTATCCACAACATTTTATCTGTTACAAGAAAGCCTTTATCAAATTGTGTAAATTTAAAAATCAACTCAGTTCATTAATATAACAAACAGTATTTCATCAAAGTGATTTGTTGCTATGGACACAGACTAAAGTTGTCTGGAAACTCCTCCATTTTAAAAGAGATAAAACTGATATCTCTGTGGTTTGATGTTTTGCTTAAATTACATTTTCATGAAACATGAGATACTTGAGGAAAGGCTAACCTATTTTAAGTAAGAACAAATTGAAAATATGAATTTCTGCAAATTTACTGATATCCTGCACTGTTATTCCTATTATTACCAAGGCTACTTCRTGTGCTTCCAATCTAAGTTTTTCTTAAACCTATCAATCTTTGATTTTGATTTCTAATTAAAAGTTTACAAAGGCTTATATTCAATAAACTATGTCTAGTAAATCATATTAAATTGTACATTAGAATTAATAAATCTAACTACAAGTATATYGTTCTCTTTACATGCTTTGTACCAAGCATTGTTGAAAATAGTTATGAGTATATACTGTATATTGTTTCATAATGTTTGCACACAATTCTAATCAAGTACGATCATCATATATACTTTTATGTTGCTTCTTTTTTCACAATATTTTAAATTGTATCAAAATCTGTAACAAAGAATCAAGAATCCATATCTCAATCATGGATGTTATTCTAAATTAAATAGCCCCAAGTAAAAAAAACAAACATTAAGAAAATAGAGGTTATAATTATATCATTTATACATTACAGTAGATGAACTAAATAATCAGAATTCTTAGCAAGTTCATCAATTTAGAGTGGTTATCTGTAATTTATAAGAAAAATAAATCATTACATTACAGTATTCATTGAATCAAATCAGAAAAAAATTCAGATTTACAATTATTATCTCTGCTACCGATTATCTAAGCATGGTGCTCTACAACACATTCATATTAAGTGGAAATATCAATTAATGATTATATTAACAAAAAAAAAAACACAGAAATAATAAAAAGGCTAAACTGCAGCTGTTATTTCATCTTTATCACCACTATATCATGCCTTATAGTTCTTTCTATCTTGAGACATAACCCTCAGGGCTGCAGTTGCATTTTGAATTAATTCCAGACATTACACTATGCAAAAACTAAGTTATACTCTTTCTTTTAGAATGGCTGACTTCCTGGAAGGTGAGTAGCCTTCTGGCTCACTATCTCCATAATAAATGCTATGTATAGACAAATCATTTTTGTTATTTTAAGCTCTGATTGGGCCCTGCAGATTGATATAACCATATTCAAACATTGGTGACAATGAAATAGTTTTACAGCCCTAACTCATAATTGTTGTTTATATACTTAAAATAATATTCTGTTATTAAGCTTTTAAAGAGCACTCATTATTGTAAGTACACCCTAATGCATTTTGTTTGTTTGTTTTTTGATATTTTTGTGCATTTATTTTATATTCTGTGATTTTTTAATTTATAAGCAAAGAACTTCAGGCAATAAACATTAAAACATTAAATAAAAAAACTTGTAACATAAACAAAAAAATCGCATATTAACATCCAAAACACCAGAGTGTCAGATCTCTGAATGTTACATAACTTTCAGAGTTTCAAACCAAGAAAATACAATGCAGCTTCATTGAAAACAGTTACTGTTGTTCAGTGATGAATAGTGAAAGCTTCTTCATTCATTTTAGTTGTGAATCACAATAAATTAAGCATTAGACAATGTACTATGATCATCATGCTTTTTAAATGGAATTTTTCTTAAACAGACACTGTACTTAGACCAGTTGTCTTTGACCTATCCTTGATCATTTACAAAATGGCTTGAGACACAAAAATTGAGGCAACAACACCTGCATGACAGACTAACAGACATGAAATATACAACACTCAATGACTCACCGATTCAAACTGATGAGAAATTAAGAGTAATCTCAAAGTGATAGTGTGAAGGAATATTGAAGTTCGTACCAGATCTACAATAATGATTTAGAATATCTCTAAGATACGAAATTATAATCTCTGATTCGAGGCGTTCGACAAGAACGCGCCATGTTTTCAACGTCACGACTTTTAATCAATTTTAATGCCTTTTCCCAAATGTGGCCTTGAACGATGACCAGATATTGTGATAATCATTTTAGTGTTTAGTTTTCACAGATTTTGACAGTCTTTATTGGTTAAAACGCTGAGATCGGGAAGGGAACAGAGGCAATGACACAATGACAATGCAGACTTCAGTAATGCAAAGAGCACAGAACTACACTATAAACAAGTTTCGTGTTCAATTCCTTTGGCGTGCTTGCATCAAACTTCGCTGTGATCTTTGGAAAAGATTACCAAATGGAAATAAGCTCTCATCCTGAGTTAATCAACATTATATACGCTTCTTTTGACCACAAATTCAACAAATAGCCAGCTTACACAAAAATCAGACCCCGAGATACCACATAACCCGAGAATGAATGAAAAGCATGGCTAACTTTCGATTTCTCCTCGATTTGGACTAATTTTCCAAGAACCAGCGTTTCTAACTATCAATCAAGCAGTACAAAACTTACAGGAGAGATAAATTAGACGAGCTGTGACATAAGCTCGGTTTCACAATTGTTAATTACGAGCACAAAAGTAATCAGAAGCAGAAATATAGGATGTCTTTCACGTCCGTTACGCAAGGTTCCAGTTTTGGAAATACATTCAACACGCAAGACCATTAATGACACTGACAAACACACGTTAAAGGAATTTATAAGGGTTTACGGACTAAGTTTAACAACGTGAGTTCAAACGTAAAACAGTAAATAGAGGTGCAAAAAATATAGCAAGAGTTAGCGGGTTAAACCAACGTCAACAAGAAATTAAAATCGTCCATTAAAATGGTGACGCTTTTCGCCGGATTGTTTCTCGTTGTATACTTTCCGTCCAAGAAAGCGATCAACTGTTCGATTTTTAAACGATTAATTGGTCTTAGAATGTTAATGAAGTTCTCTAAATGTTCTATGGAATGTTTATAAGGGATTCGAAGTCCGTCCTGCCTATAGAAATGGATAATTCGCGAATGAAATGCCCATCCATAACGAGCTCGATAAAGAACGAGCAGTCAGGCAGCAGTTAGCCGCAAATGAATGAGAATTTCATACACAAACCTTYAACTTTTCAAAGATCTCTATTCGAAAGATCACAAGTTTTATRATCTTAAAAGACCGTGGAGATCTTGACAGTGCAAAGAGTGAACACGATTCGATTTTTTGGCGCTCATGACAGTCTTGTACCTCATTAACATTTCAGCAAAAATAAACCGCAAGGCTGTTTTGACAGAGCTCGCGACATATTTTGCCAGCAGATTGTAGGTAAAAACAGGAAACATGTTCAGTAAAAGATGGTCACAAGCACCAAAAGACCCTTGGATTTTAGTTTGTTTTGATAACGAGACTTGTTGGTGTTAAAGAAAGGACTTATGATGCGCGCCAAGAACATCACAAAAGCGAAGAGCCCGCGCGAGAAGACAAATTCACAAGATTCGTTCAACCTACGCACTTACCGGTGCATTTTGGCGCTAGCAGTCATCCTTCTGCCATTGTTGATCCCCGATTTCCATTCTTATGGCGATGAAGTTAAGTGGTAGCAAAGAAGCCTGCGATCTCCAGCAAAATTGACAACCAAGGAAAATTTTCTTTACACAAAAAAACAAAAATCGCGCGCTGAATCAGCAATCACGTTGGACTTGGATAAATCGAACCGCTCCCTTACGAAAAAACAACTTTTCCCAAGCCTTTTCTCACATCAATTATTCAGTCCACTGGGCCTCCAGAAGTCGATATAGCAGCGAATTTTGCTAGCCAGCTTTTATGTTTTTTGAGCCAAGCAATCGCCCCGCTTTAAAAAATTCAAAATTTCCAACGAAAAAACTCGAGAACCGTTGAAAAGAATGATGGGCCGTGAGAAAATCGATGACGCGACGCCCTGTTGCCATAGAAATGTCAATTATCCCAAACACAAGTAGAGAGAATACGGTTTTCAATCATTATTTTTCCCAAAAAATGGCGGGCATTTTTTTGTTTTTGAAAAATCGCGGGTAATTTGAGTCTCACAATTTGTTTATATATGTTTTTTTCGTTATAACTTTATCAATGGAAGTCGAATSAATTTCGAGAATTATTCTCGAAGGTTTTTCGGTTTTAATCGAGTATTTTTTGAGCGAATTTGACTTCGATAGTAAAATTTTACCATTTCCTTGAAAAGAGAATGACGGTTTTCGGTCTTTCTCTCTATTCATGTAAATCTAAAAAGACAGCCTTCCTAAAACTAAATTTGTCATTGCGTTGACGATTTGTTTGGATTHAAAGCCAAAAAATACTGTAAAATCACCGTTGAAAATTYGTGGGCGAATCTTTTGTCAAAACAGCTGCTCAACTTAAAAAATGGACAAAAAATATTACAGCAAAAGATTTGAAAGGGCCTAGAAACTGCAAYTATTTTTATAAGTTCATGAAATTAACTCCTTTTTTTAATAATAGTGAACTTGAAGAAAAAGGAAAATTTAATTTAAAGTTTAAAGTATAAGAGCTGTCCAAATCGGAAAATTGTAAAAAAAAAATATTTTATTTTTCTTTATTGAGTTAACCTTGCTCAGTCTTCTCATAYAGCTATATACCTTTGATTATCCAAAATATTTCAATCCATAATATCTCTTTACTGAATGTGCTTTTGTTATAAATGGAAAAGGGTATTTTATATAAATGCATTACATTTAATATTTCTTCAAATATGTATTTAGAAACATATTCATTGCTTTCCTTATAAATTTGAAAAAACTATTATAAAAGGAGAGTGTTTGAATAATAATTTATCATGAAACAYATCACAAATAAAATATAGTATATTTCTTCTGAAGCATGTGTTGGAATGTTATGTCTATCATGAAATATTGTAATATATCGTCACAGTATGCATGCATGTAGTATACTTTAGGGAGGGGGCTTTTTAGAACTGTCTATCTAAAGCAATTATGATCTCCCAAACATTCTCTTCAGCACCTTTATCCTCCCACTTTTCAAAGTTTAAAACTATTGCAAAATTACGGTATTAAAAAAGTAAAAAACTTACAAACTGAGAATATGACTTCAAGTGAGGAAAATGTACTAAAATATAACACTTTTTAAAGTTAAAACTATTTGAATGATATAATATGGAAGAGAACAATGAATTYACTACATTGTGCATACACAAGGGAGTATTCTTTGAAGATAAGAATAAAGAAAATTAAACAGTTAAAAGGTTGCTGTAAAATCAAGCAAGTTTACCTGAATTTTATTCTGGTTTGAAGAATGGCAAGCCTGGTTTCCATATTTTTGCTACTGTTGCTAGGAATACCAGAGATCGTTCCATTATCCTCCTGCAATTGATCATTTGGAAGCACTTTCCAGTCCTGGGAAATCTCAAACTTAGAATTAATCACTGGCAACTGTATGGCAATGCTTGTACCAGTTTACACAATCCCATTTAACTTGACGTAACAAGACAAAATCATAAACGTCTCTACGACTCCGAATGTGCCTCCTACAACTTATCTTAATTCTTATGAACAGAGTTAGCAACTCTGTTATGAACCAGGTGCTGAAAGTTCTATGAACAAGTCCAGGGATGCCATGTACACGTCAAGTTGAATATAACTAGTCTCATCATGTAAATCASCCTGCAGCAATCCTAGAGATCATTTTCATCACATGGAAACCAGGATTTAAAGATATCCTCCAATGCCTGAAACTACTTTTGATAAGATGAAGTGAGACTTGTCTAATCAGAAAAGAAGGCAATAGTCAATATTCCTTTTTAGTGGCAGTTGATAGGATAAAAAGGAGGGAATTATGGACCAGTCATAATTTATATGGCGGTGCGAGGGGATTTTTTTGCGCAACCTGGAGTATAACATATTTTGATTTGCGACCCAACCCATCAAAGCTACTGTTATGTCAGATGCCATTAAAAATTGTACTTCTGATGTTATTACATGTATGAATTAAAATAGATTTATACATATTGTTTTGTTAAATACATCTTCCGATTTTGAAATTCAAACTAACATCTATAATGTGAATTTTCAACAAACAGAAATTTGTCCATACTCCCCAAAAATAAATTTTTTTGGCCCACTCCCATTCGTTAAGAAAATTATATCTGCCACCTCCCGTTTCCCCACCGCCACCCCTAATTGTTATGAAAAAATCAAGTTTATCATATAATTATCTATGAAATACCTATATTTCTCCATTACGTAAAATTGTTATTTTCACTAGTGAAAATAACACATTCGAGGTTTCTCTATATAGTGGAAGTAAGAAAATAGATATTTTCCAACATAATTTGCTTTCATATTTAATTATATGATAAACAGAATATTACATGGTCGCTTTGAGATACGAATTTTATCTTCTCGTGTTGAAAATCTCTCACTTGTTCGCTACGCTCACTCGTGAGAGATCTTTTCAACACTCGAAGATAAAATCCGTATCTCCGCGCGCCCATGTAATATCCTCTATTTATTACATCTGTAATGTTATGAAGAATTAATGTTTATGCATTTAACAAATTTAATATGACATGTAAATTAATACAACATGACTGAGCAATCTTTATTAATGATACTACATCCTGGTTTTATTCTTTATATAACTTTTCATGAAATATCATAATCATAATAAAATTACATTTTACATTTAATAAAATTACATTTTATTAATAAAAAAAATAATAATGCATGTTTTTGGTAGTATTTAGTAATATATTAGTTAAATACATGTACAGCCTTTTGCACAAATTATGAGACATTTTTATATATATAAATATACCTAACCAAATATCAAAAACACCCCAGAAATTATGGTATATCTCTATTATATTTTGTCATGATTGCCTAGCATCAGGTTGTTACAGACAAAATATCAGCGACGGTATCCCATAATTTCTTGGGTGTTTTTGATATTTGGTTAGGTATATTTATATATATAAAAATGTCTCATAATTTGTGCAAAAGGCTGTACACTGACATAAATATATTAAAACCATATTTTATTATTGTACTGAGGAATCAATGTCTCTCAGTAAGGTAATTGATTGYACTGGATAACTACTATTGAGGCAGAAACAACTTTCCTCCAATGTCTATCATGAGTACTTATTCACCCCAAAATATCAGAAAATGTAAATATAATTGTTTGCTTTCCTTGCTTTGTATCTTTTGTCTGGGAACACTTWGTGTACCTTTGGGAAGCAATGGTCTTGTTACCATGGTAATACAGATTTTGATCAAGCACAAGACATTATTCATTAACATTATTTTCACACTACAGAAAAGAACGGAGGACCATCTTCTTAAACTTAGTTTACCAGCTTTGGAATTCAGTAGCATATTTAGAAATAAAAAAAAAAAAATCAATGAACATTAATGTTATGGTAGGAYAATTTAACTAGCTTTATTCTTGGATGGAGCATTGCGGACAACATAATCAATAGGAGCTTTGCCCTCAAATGCAGTTGGTGAACGAAAGGAGCCTCCGATCCTATCCCACAATGTAAAGAATTGTCCATAGTTGTAGTCAAAGAATGTATGGTGATCTGTATGGTGAGCTGATCCATTCACAAATGGCTTGAAAATATCAGGAACTCTGTAATCCCCATCATGAATAGACACAGTCCAGAAATTGACAAACAAAAACAGTACAAGGTAAACAATTTTGTTCAGTGGGAAAATGAATGGATAGATGTGATATGGGAAGGACTGCAGGAATCCATCAACGGGATGAAATGCATGGCTTGCAAAAGGAGTTGGAACCTTCCACTTATGGTGAACCTTGTGTAAGTACTTATAAACCAATCGATGATGAAGCCCTCGGTGAATCCAGTATATCAAACAATCGGTAAATAGCAAAACGCAAACAGTACTGAAGAGCAAGTCAAAGATGTACCTCCATAAACCAATTTCCGACACGCTTATGTAGTGAAGACGACTGTATCCGCGAACTTCAACCATAAAAAGAGCCACAGTCGGTAAACTCATGAAGGGAATACTCTTTAAGGCAACCATTATCTCAAGATAGATTTGGTTCTCCAATATTTGCGGATGTTGAAGAAGACGTCGATCAAATACGAAGAAGAAGCTGAACGATGCAGTTGCCAAATACAAGATAACTCCACCGATGTTTGCTAGAAGAAGAAGAGTAAGAATTTGTCGAAACATGTCATCTTCACTCCAGCTTGATGGGTAAACATATGGAGTAAAGAAGTGGTAGTCTACAAAATTCAAAACCAGATCCATTTCCAATAGCTACAGTAGTAGTGTCGCTTTGTTTCGCAAAAGTCCACTGCACAGAGCGAAACGAAAGTCTGCACAATTCGACACAGGTAGCCCGTCAATTGGGCAGATGTTCCTCAATGTGAATGTGTTATAGTCTAACCCMAAAAAAATCGATTATGCCCAAAATACRTGTTGATTCTCAGTTTAAGTACTTATATTTATTGAACAAGAAACATCTTGCAACCATTGCAAACTGCAACCATTCAAATCATTATTTATTATTGTTACAATGGAAAAGACAAAAAAATCAAACAAACAAACAAGAGAAGTGGAATGCTGTGTTATAGCTTTCAAGTAATTGATGCTTTGGATGGAAAAAATACCATCCAACTCATCTGCACAAAGTGCTTCATTTATTAGATTCAGCCTGTATATATAAAGATATTTTTATCACTGACAGCTACCCAGAAAAAAATACAAACAGGTTGTCAGTGATAAGAAAATAACAAAACTTTGAAAATATCATCTCAATCCTAGTTTCTTCTTTTCTTTAACTTTCTTTCTAACTACATCAATGTTTCTGTCTTTCCATGTACTCTTCCGTAGTTTAATTGGTCGATTTCCTATGTATTTTCCTGAAAAAAGAAGGATAATCTATATTATTATATAGTAAAATTATAACACAAGTAACAATTGGTTGAAATATGGGTCATACAATTCCCATATGAACTGGGAAGACAGTTGAAAGCAAAATAGAGCTTGTTTTCAATGCTGAAAATGTTGATTTTCCAGACATCAAATCTAAGGCTGAAAGGGAGCATGAGTACAACAGAGTTTCATTGCCAAAGATTGCCTGCACCGAATGAAATGATCTTGTCTTCAAGTAATGCTATTTTATTTCACACTTACCATTCATTTCTCTCATTGCTTTGATGAAATCATTAGGATCTTTAAAGCTTACAAAACCATATCCTTTTGTTTTGCTAGACTTTTTGTCTCGTATAATCTTAGCTCTTAGAAATGATGGATACTTTGAAAATGCTCTTGTTAACGATTCATCAGTCACTTCATTRCCAAGATCTCCACAAAATATGCGAAAGTCATCTATAAGGRAAAAAAATGAAAAATATGAAGTACTATTTGGATTTTAAGAATGCAACAGAACAAAAAGTCTTACTTGGATCCCAAGAAGATAGGGAAGGATCCTCCCATACTTGACTTCCTGCAACCCTGACAAATTTCTTATCTTTTCCTTTTTTCTTGTCATCCCCCTCATTGTGTTTGTATGCAGATTCCCATTCTTTCTGCTCAGCTGGAGTGATAGTCGGTGGTACTCCAACAGGTGGTGGCACAACAGGTCCTGCCATGGGTACTGGGTATGTAGGACCTGCAGCTACAGGCATCATTGGAGCTGCTGCCATCATTTGATGCATTTGAGGTCTCTGCTGTATTCTTACTGGTTGAGGTGGTTGAGATACCATTGGACCAGCTGGATGTCTATGGAGATGATTCATAATTGGGGGTCTTGCCATATTTGGCGGTGAATAAAACTGTGGCTGTTGAGGCATCTGGGGTGGTACTGGTGGTCTTGGTAGAGGTTGCACGTGCATTGGTACTTGTAATGGTGGTTGATTTACTCTTGCATCTTGGATTGCTTGTGTTGCTTTTCTGAATGTACTTGCTGAAATGATAGGTGGTGGTTTTGCCACTGGATGACCGGCAATCTCCTGCTCAAACCTGCCAAATGATATGCCACATGTAATTACATTTCAATATTGTTGGAATTAGAATCCTACAACGAATTTCAACAACAGATTTTTCACCGTTTCATTTAAAAACATTCGGTAACGTTTCGGTAAAGTCAATCTACGCAAGTCTAATAATTAAACTAAGCCAACAACACATGTTCAAAATATGTTCATAAAAATAGAAGTACAGTCAGCAAATACCTTGACATTTCCTCTTCGAGTTCATTTTTCCTCTTTGACTCGTCAGAACTCCCTGGTAGACTCATGTTGAGACTGAACTCGCTGCTAAATAAAGATTATTTAACAGTGTTTACCGCAAATCAACACAAAACGTTTCTATACTGTATAGTTCTTTCGTTTATCAGACGAATGACTTGGTGACCACTCGCCGATTCCCGGCGCGAAGACTGAATACTAGTACAGCGCACAGGTAGCCCAACAATATCACTCTTATTCTAGATTCATCAGGGATTCATCAACTAAAATTTCACACTAGAATTTGTTAATTCTGTGTCAAATCATAATCATGACAGTATTATTTAGCATCTTTTTTTAACCACCAAGCCAAAATGCATAAGTCAGCTATTAGAGCATGCCTTCGTCTCATATCTGTTTTACGTTTTTTTCAAGTGAATAGATCACAAAAAAAGTAAGAGGGAAAAGGCAGGGTAATAACCGGTTACTCTTCTTACAACAATATATTTCATCCAGACCACATTTGTTTGTTGTTGTTTTTATTACTATACATACAAGTAAAGTTTCGGTTTAGCACAGCTAGTTCAAATACTTCAAGTGAGAATCTCAAAACGGAAAACTAAGAATATGGAGTCAAAGGAACCTTAAACCAAAGACCCATGAACAGGTTCTCCAGGAAAAACTTGCACATAAAATATTTGGATCGACCTTGAGAAAGGTCTTCAATCATTGTTTTCTATTTGTTCATTTTCAAATTTGCTACCCAAGTACAAACATTCATGATTGTTTTCATTGACCTAGTAGTAATAAACATAGCATAAAATAATAACATAAAGCTGTTTTCAATCCATAAATTGTGTTTTATGAAAACTACTTTGTACTGAGATTGGTACATATGCAAATGTCAACAATTGTTTCCTTGGACTTGCTTTAGTCTATGTCATGTTGGTTTGCAAAACCACTGAATGTAAACMTTTCAATGCCAACATTATTGCTGTGAAAAGTACAAGGATGTTGTCACATTTAGCATTAATATAAAATATACACATAAAAATAGAAGTAAAATAGGGCAAATTCACATGAGTTCAAGTCTTCTTGGGTGGAGGCCTGAAAAAAAGAGAAATTACAAGGTTGAGTTGTTTGCATTTCATTGTAAATTCAACTATGCAAAACTTTACCTGTATGTGCCAACTACAACAGCATGATCTCTTTCATAAGGCTCTAGTGTCAGTTGTTCTTGAGGCTTCATTTTCTCTCCCTGCATTTTCTTTACTTCATCAGCAAACACAGCTGCAGGTTGTGCAGTTGAATCAATGCAGTTGGCCTGACAAATTACAGATTAAATTATCTATCTGGTATGATAACATTTTGCATTCAAAAGAAACTCACCTTGATAGATATGACAAAGTTACCACCATTTTTAAGGAACATATGTGCATTTATAGCCACAATACGAGCTTGGTCTGGTTGTGCAACATCTGCAAATATCGTATCTACCATACCTTTAAATTAAAGAATAGTTTTGTTAAGATATGACCGAGCAAAGAAACTACTTACTAGGCATCCTTTTAAAATACATACCTATAAGCATTCTGTACTTATGTGGATGTCTTGCATCTTCTATAATAGGAATAACATTTGTTCTTTTCTTGGCAACATTTAATAGATCACGTCCTGATCTGTGTGAAAATTCTACAGCATATACAAGACCATCCTAAGACAAAATAAAATTTTAATTTGATACTTGAACATCTAGTAATCTGATGTTTAGATAAGTAGAATAAACAAATGATACAAATTTTGGATCCAATATGGAGTTCTTTTGAAGTAACATGCAAAATGAGTACATTGTGCATATAACTAGGCACTTACCGGTCCAACAATATCAGATACATGGGAGACTGTTGTACCTGAAGCAGCACCAAGGTAAAGCACTTTACTACCTGGAGGCATGTGGATCTTATCAATACCACCAAGAATAGCTGCGGCAAGCTTAGATCTAAATGGATTCCATACTCTGTATTCTATCTTTTCTCCTTCTCCAACACCCTGGTGAAAAAAAGCATTTAAGTCTCAACTGATTCTCTAATCAAAACAGGGAATGTACTGCATAACGTTGGTAAGCTTACATCAATTGATATTCTCTTTTCCCCATATACAGCTTCACCAGGAACAAGATTCTTTGTGACTAAAGCATCTTCTTTGCCTCTTGCAATAAAAACTCCTAAACAAGAAAACGATATCAAGTTGTTCATTATTGTTAGCACAATTCATTGCTGTTATTGCACCTACCCTCATGTCTGTGTGGCTCAATTGTTACTTTGGCACCACCTCTCATCCCTCCTCTTCCTATAAGTCAATTTCAATGTCAGCTTTGATAAATGCAAAATGTTATTGCAGTACACAAACTTACCTCCTCTAAAACCTCCTCTTCCTCCTCTACCCCCTCTGCCACCACCACCACCACGACCACCTCCTCCACGTCCACCACCACCTCTACCTATAAACAATATAACACCAAATATTAAATGCATGCTATTTATAAGGACTGTTTGATGCTAAAGCAGCACACAGGACTTGATGTTAACCCGACTGAAATGATACTTACCTCTACCACCAAAGCCACCTCTGCCACCACCTCCTCTTCCTCCTCCTCTAGGTGAAAATCCTATCAACATACACACCAACATAAATACCATGATTTATTCCTGGACAGAATATTTTACTAGTTTCCAACTACAAKCCTAAATTTAATTTTATAAGAGTATTCTATGTATGCAACTTGCCAGAACATTTCCTGGATCAAAGTATTGTCAGAATAAGACAATATTTAAGTTAGATGTCTCTACAAAGCAAGGTAGCAATCTACAACGTGATCTATCACATAATCACCAGAAAACATTGTCATTCCAAATCTTTGAGATCTTGTCTAACATACCAAAAATCCAATAAATCACAACCAAAATATTCGTTTTGTATTCCAGTCAAATGAAACAGTTTACAAAGTTACACAATTTCAAAAGTTATTGATGTGCYTTTCAAAACACCAGAAAATTTGCACAACACCGAGGCTAAGATCCATCACAGTACAAAAAGCAAATGTCTACATGWTAAAGRATCGTGCCACCTTCATCAAATAGTGTATTACAGTTTCGATAACACARGAAAATTCTTAATAAACAACAAACCTGGTCTTCCCATGTTGAATTCTATCGAATGCACGTGCTGAAAAACAAAGCAAGGCGCATGTCTTGAAGTGCGCAAAGCACCCTGGGTACCGGCCTCGTCGTCTGTAGAAAATCCAAGATGGCGCAGAAGGTAGTTGCATTTGGTCAAAAAATAGCCACAAGAGCTCCGGCCTTGGCTACTAAGTATGGATTTCAAATAACAGGTAACGAAAATATATGTCAGAGAATATTTKTGACGATATTTTGCCGCGAAATCGTCTTGTCATAGTTGTTTGGAGTGCATTGTAATGTCGCAGCTACTACTGTTTCCTCGTTGGTGCTTGTTTCTGAGGCATGAGAGTTGTATATCTTTTATATGTTTTATGCATTAACTTTTATATTATTATTGTTCAAGTCTTGCTTAAAATAGCTCTATTATAATAATATAAAGAATGATTATTTTGGAAACACTGTGCTTTTTGGTTATAGAAAACTTGCAAATTTCAGTTTGATTCAAGTAATGAGTTAACTTCAAAAGAGATAACTTAAGTTCTTTTTAACATTTTTGGTCCAATCTTTCCATTTTTCTGCATGTGTTGAAAGAGGGGGTGAAGGCGCGAAGAGTTATAATGAAATTATTCACATTTATACTGTTTAAGGTGTTGGGAGACAGACCTTTTCCACCTTCATTTCTGAATTTCTGTACTGTATTTTCTACCTCATAACATSTCTTTTTACTTAGCGGCTGCAAAAAGGCGTCAACCAGCTTTGGAGAAATTCTGGACTAATGCCAAAGTAGAGCTTGCTCCTCCAGGCCCTTCAGACTGGCCAGCCATCAAGAAAGCATTTTCTAACATCAAACAGGCCACCATGACTGGCAGATTCCTKAATACTACCGTCAARGACAGTGTATCCAACACCCTTGTTGCTGTAGAGATAGCCATGTGGTTTTATATTGGAGAAATTATTGGAAGACGAAGCATTGTGGGTTACAATGTATAATAACTTGATGTGTGTTTCTAATTGTTGTGAATGGTTACTATTAATTAACCATGGCTTTGAATCATAATTTTCTGTACTTGACAGTCAAGAGTTGTTTCTGAGAATATTGTGTGAACATCAATGAGTAAAATAGCTCTTTTATCATATAAAATGGTTTCTTTTTATCTTTAGAATACACTATAAATAGATTTTATCATTTTGATAATGAATTCAGATCAGTTGTATGTTTATAATTACGAAGTCCTAAGTTACTTTCTATTCTTCTTTCTACTTTTGGGCTTCCTGTCTTCCTCTATATGGCAGAGGGAGAGAATTCCACAGGGATTCCAAAAGAGTGAAAGGAATTGCAGACTGTGGAGGAGACTAGTTCATCACAGTCCTGACAGTTCTATTTGTAGTGTTGCATGTTAAAAACTAAAACAGCTGTTAGAGGAGACAAAGATCATCATTGTTTGTTTGTTGATAATTTTCTAGCCTGCATACCCAGGTGTTCCTAGCTGCTCCGATTCAAACTAGCGCTTTTTATCTTCTTAATGTTAAAGAGCGCTATATAAGTCAATAAATTATTATTATCATTAACTCTCTCAGAGCGGCTAGGAAGCCTGGCTATGCAGGCTAATAATTTTCTAAAGGTTCTTAAATTAAGGATGAYTTGTGCTAAATTGTCATGGTATTGTATGCTGCTCATGTTTAGAAAATGTTCACTGTTTGATATTTATCAGTCTAAAGACTCTTCTCTTTCAACAATTTTATTTACATGAAAACAGTTCCTCTGGTAACAGAAGTATGTAAGAATTTCTGCTGGCTGCCCCTTGTATATACACTATTATATACCTCATAATATTACAGTAGGACTGTATTTACACATCAGCTAGGTCAAATAGCAAATTACACTTTCTAATGACAGTTTTCCAGTATCATCTTATTATTTATCTTACAATGGAGATTCATGGTTGTCTTGGCAAGATTTTCATGGTTAATCTCTTAAACCACAGGTAGCCCAATACCGACTAAAGAATGGTTTCATTTGTATTACGAGATGCTGTTCTTGATGATTCCTATAATGAAGAAAAACTTCAAATAAGGATAATACATTGTCATATATATGACATACTGAAATTACCTCGTCTGTTGTCTGATTCCTGTTTTGTCGTGTGTCAGTTGTAGATGAACTTTTACAATGCTTTTCCTAGTTATCAAGAAACAGGAAAGAWAAAGTTGTAAAATCACTTTTCTACCTTCTAGTCTACTTGCAATTATTAACATTTTATTTACGACTTGCTCGTTTAATTTTATTATTTATGCCACCAGTCGTACCTCRCTTGATATTTTCCTTTCTCTTCTGGGTATGCTTGTCAATGAGGAACAGTGGGGCTTAACAAAGCATTCTGATCCTGAGAAAAGGTTCTCTAACTGAAATAATAACATACTGGCATATACAATTCCCTGTAATGATTTATTAACAGCAGTTTGGACCATTACATCATCTCTGAAATTCACATGATGATGAAATACTCGCAAGCTGTTTTACCTCGTTCACTGAAGTGTGTGTTCTTGGGCTTTTCTTCTTGTCTTTAGCGTATGGCAAGTATTCACCGAGAGTTGTGGGAATTTGGCGAGCTGCACGCTCACTTCCTTTAATAATATCGAACTGCCCAGATGATATCGCAGGCTCACTACTGGATTTTCTTTTTCTCTCAACTTCGATTTTATTGTCRCAAACCTTTATGAAACAAATCATATTGWTACTATAAACAAGGTTTGTGGTGAAATAATGGTCTAATGTTCATACCATGATCTAAAGTGATCCACAATAGCTACAAACATAAATGGAWTAATGGCAGTCTTACCTGTAGCTGGTTCTCTGCTGTTTTTGGTCTTTTTCTTCTGCTTCTTCCGCCTCCTTTCAAATCTCCACTCTGAAGTGTTTTATTACTAAAAGATTCCTGAAATGAAGTTTACCTTCACTCGTTGCATCACTCGTGCAATACTGATAGAGTCTATGAATCATATTCTGTCAGTTTGTCCCACAAGTGAAAATTCAGAATGCATTGTAGCTGTATGGTTTGATTCGACGGGATGCGGCAATGTCCTTAGACCTCCCTTTTATACCTGATAGATCTTTTAATTAGTTAATTTAGCTAAATACTTACAAGRTGATCAAAATTTGTGTCTGGCATTCCTGGCAACTGTGGGATGAGGTCCAGATCGGGCTGCCGTCGATTGGTTTCGTCCTTTTCTATTACTTGAATATTCTCACTTTTGATTAATCGGGGGCTTTCTTGTGACTGGTCGAGTGCACTCTCTGATTTCTCCTCCTGTTTGATAAATTKTGAGGTCAACYACTTACAACGTCCTCGGAAACCCAGAGATAATCTTCTGACGYTGAGTGACATAAATTATCCCAGGGTCACGAGGATACTTCACAAACTAAACGAAACTTGGAAGAGAAAGATATGAAGAGTGTCTTACAGCAGGTTTACTTGTATTGCTGACYGATATCAATGGAACGTTCTCCAGCTTTGAACTTCGATTAGAACTCCTGCTTTTATTGCTCCCAGACTGAAAGAATACAATGTTGCAATTAATGTTGCRCTCCGTGACGCAAACRCAGTACAGAGGAACTCCTCTGAACGCAGTAGAAGTTTCCACACCTGGAATTCCTGTCTCTTCGATCGAATACTATCGCTCGTGGGGCTTCGRCCACTTTCTTCTAAGCCTCGTCTAGACCCACTAGAATATCCCTTTACCTGWAACGAASCGGGWTTTATTGACTTGTAACCCMMAAAAGCTGGCTGTAGAATTCAGTTMGTTGCTGAAGTGAGTCATTTTTTTTGCGGGTTTTATARGAAAACACGTTTCTGTACTTACGTGATCTGAGTTCAATAGACAGTGGAAAAAGAATAGGAATATCCCCTGAAACATGAATAGGAAGWTCCTATGACGGATAATAGTTGATTATATAGCGAATGCTTTTCCTTTTTCAAGTTAGCACAACATAACAATAAGCCTATTCCACGCTATCAAGATGTTAACATTATCAACACGGTTTAGTTACCTGGAGTCCATTAATGAGACCAAACGTTAATTGATATCGTAGATTGCTTCCTTCTTTAAATGACAAGATTGTAAAAGTCCATCCAAGGCACAAACCAAGAAGCATCAAGGAATTCGTTCGCAGTCCATACCTAGTCAGTTTAAACAAAACTAGGAAATCAGCCAGCAATACGTATCAGGGGGCCGTATTAAACACAGATATCAACTCAATAATTGTTGTTTTGCCTGTTTGCTTTTGTGCCTGTAAGTAAGCAGTTATCATCAGGGATTGTTATTATTTTAAAACAGTGGAGACGGATTATCCCCACTTCATACTATGTTTTACATCAGTAGTGAAATACGCCGAAGAATATGGAATKTGGCATATATACTTATGGAAGAGCGAGAAAATGACTGTTTGACAGACTTGGAGTGGATACCCGAGGGAAGCAGGACAAAAAGGAGACCAAAGATAGCATGGAGGAGAACCTACTAGAAAAGCGGAAGAGGGAACGATCGAGGAGCTGGGATAAAGCCAAAACAACAGCATGGGAGAGAGCTGGATGGAAAAATAGAGTGAAGGTCTTATGCGCCTCCTGGCGTGAAGAGAAATGATGATGATGATGATGGTGTGTTTTATACAGGAGATTATTTATGTCCCGGGTTATCGTAGTGACATACCTTGTCCCACGCTTCTCAATRGCTGCTTTTGGCGAAATATCGTAGGATGGATGTCTGAGTTGCTTTAGAATTATAACCAGTATTAAGATATTAACCTAAAACAAAAAAATGGACGATTATACTTTAATTGTGAAGTATTTTATGCTTTCAATGCCGCCTAAAGTCTGTATACTTTGACCCTAAAGCCAAGGACAGTAAATACAAGAAACAAAAACCCTCAGCTTGACGCGAAACATTGTTTCTGTTCAAGTCATAAGTTGAGCATTGATATTTCTCGTTTTTCATGCATCGTCAACTAGTCATGCAGCAAAAATACATCGTGAAAAACGAGAAGCGTCGATGCTCAAATGAACAGAAACAATGTTTCSCGMCAAGTTGAGGAGTTTTGTTTTTAAAGCCATTTCWCAATAACTTCTKTGTTAGTATCTATCAGACTGACACGCGTGAGGAGTTTYCGGTTGTAAASTCTAAACGYGTCTAGCTGTAAAGTTTAGAAAGCTGCTGGGRCGGGTTAACTGGTGGGTAGTGCGCATGCTCCAACTTACCATAGCGATCACAACAGATGAAACTACAAAGGCCCAGATGACGTTATCAGATGACCAGCAAGTGTACAGGGAGATCCTGCAATGATAAAATCAATAGTTCTCACCATAGTACCATCTTGTATTATACAGGTCTTCTGATGCGGACTGTTGTGTAAAAAGATAAATTTAATACTGTAAAATTAAAATTAAATTTAGCTTTTTTACACAACTGTTTAGAAACATCGACGGAGCTCACACTAGTTTACCGCTAGTTACTAGTTTACCGCTAGTTACTAGTTTACCGCTAGTTCCCATGACTTACGTTTTCGGTCTTGTTTTATCAAGAAATCCAATTAGCATCGTTAGTATAATCACGATAATTGGTGAACCTGCAAGTACATTCGCAMAATCAACTTATTTGTAGACAGTTAATTTATGGGAGCCTTGATGCATTTTGCTAGCTATTCAATTCTCATAGTCTTTTGTAGACAGTTGATTTATTGCAGCTTGATGGTCSATTTRGTTAGCTAGTTGGATTGCTGTTTTTTTCTGGTATAGTTGGTTRGTTTATTGGYAGCCTGTGCGGCGTCTCTCRGGGGAGGGGCGTGGTAAAGGGGTAGAGTGAGGTGAGGCTGTTTTGCTTTATTGGTTGGTTGTTAGTCATCTAGCCTAATGCGGTCATRTGTGTTTTGGCGAAGTGCATCATGGGCATTRCAAATGTCTRCGCAGGASGAAATTTCCTTTTGTCAATCCCATAATGCATCTTGCTAATTAACGCTATAGGAGATGGGATCGTTGATTAGTTGGCTTGAGTATATTATGGATCCATTTATGTAAGGATGGGTCAAATTAAATAAACYTCTCACCCCATCCAGTTAGGAAATAGAAGTTGGTGTTTCGTATCACAGGAAAGGTGTTGGCATGAAAGAAATACAACCCAAGAGCGTCCAAGGCACACCACGAAAAACACGCAATGGCGGTGAAGTGCATTAAAACCGACAATATCAGACAGCCCTCCTAAATCAGTAGATGATGATATTATTAACAACAATACTAATATATATATATAGCAATATGCAGTGAAATTATCATCATTTTGACTCATATTCCAAATGTATAATATAAAAAAGAAATCAGAAATTATGGGATATCATTGACAATATTTTGTTGAAGTTGCCTAGCGCTGGTACTTTCTGAAAATAATATTGGCGATGATATCCAATAATATTTGATATACTTTATATATACTTGAAATATGAGCAAAAAAGTTCATAATTTCTGCATATTGCTGTATTATTAATCAATTATTATACAGCCTTTTGCAAAAATTATGAGAAATGTTGAAATATCTAAATATCATAATATCAAGTGCATGATGGGTAATCCCGCGCGATGCCCTTAGTCTCTTGTCTTTGTAGTTTAGTTTTGTTTTTGGCGACTTACATATCCGTAGTTCTGAACATTTTCTCGATGTCAACAATGAATTATTCTAGCAAACCCGCGTGTTCCGGACAATATATGGATATGGATATTATGATATTTAGATATTTAGACAATTCTCATAATTTTTGCAAAGGGCTGTATCAATTATAATATACACAGCAAAATATATCTGAATTGATTTTTTATACATAATCAAATCTTATATCAAAAACACGGTTCACATACCCGGATTTTATATCCTTCGATTGAYATCAGGAAAATCAATTGAGTCGATGCCAGTGCGATAGTAAGATGCTTCTTAATCATCATTGACTCGGTCTGCGGTCTGAAGCAGAACACGAGATGACTTTTATTAATAAGATTACCTGAAGAACAAACCTCACTGGACAAAACTACCTGTGT